ATCCCGGAACGAGTCCTCACCGACCAGGGTAGCGAGTTTGAGGCCGAGCTGTTCCAGGCACTGTGCCGAGAATTCGGAATCCAGAAGGACCGAACCACAGCGTATCACCCCCAAGCGAACGGTATGGTAGAGCGCATGAATCAGACCCTAGCGGGGAAACTCAAACGTATGGCGGCCGCAAATCAACGGGATTGGGACGAACACCTCCCCTACGCCCTTTTCGCCTACGCCACCACCGTACACACGTCGACGGGACAAACCCCGTTTTTAATGATGTTCGGCCGTGAGTCTCGTTTACCCGCAGATCTGCTATTCGGCGTCCCTTCCCCCCAGCCGGAGGAGGGAAGCCGCCCCGTGGAACACCTGTTGGAGACCCTGCGAGAAGCCCGAGGCCGAGCATACCCGCAAGGGGAAGCCGCGCATCGGCGGCAGGAACAGGGCACCCGACCCCGCATGGAACCCCCCTTATTCCTGACAGGCGCTAAGGTGTGGCTACACACCCCTCGCGTCGGGGCCGGGCAGGTGGGGAAACTGACGACCTACTGGCGGGGACCCTGGACCGTGGTGCGGCAGATATCCCCCTGGACGGTACTAATTTACGGCGGGGAGAGGGGTCGAGAGACGGTGGTCAATGTCCGCCGCTTAAAACCATGGAAAGCGGCCCCGGCGAGAGAGGACTCCGTCACCCGAAAGCCCCGAAATCCCAGAGTACCCGCACCCCTCGTGTTGGGGGGCCTCGCACACTACATGGGCCCCGCCGGGTCCCCAAGACGCCCCGATCCAGTCCGGAGACGGCGCGGACGACGGCCACTAAACCCTTCCGCTGCTGAGTTTGTGCCCCAGCCCACAGGTGCCGGGGGACGGGGAGAGCCGCTGGAGTGGAGGAGACCGCCGCAGGAGCTACAGAGGACGGAACCACCCGCCCCGAGGCCAGCCACCAGGTCCGGACGGATCCCCCGGACCCCGCAACGTTTCCTCATGGGTGCGGCCCAAGCGAGGTGCTCCAGTCAACCCGGGACGGGGACTGGCACCTCGGGGGGCTATGTGATGCCGCCGCCACGAAACCGTTCGGCAGGCACCAAATCCCCGACCTCGCCACCACCAAGCAACGGAGCCGACCCCGCGTCCCCCTCACCTCACCTCACATGAACACACCCGCACTCATTTCCCCCCCCCCCATAGAGCTCCGAGGGGAGGTCGCCTGGCCGACCGGTTTTTATCCGAGAGACCCTTATCGGGATTAATTCTCACGGTTTCCGGCGATCAGGGAATTGGATGACCTCCCCCGTGCTACGTGGCACCGCGGCGCTGCGGCCGGCCTTAATATGGTGTGGTCGCGGCGTGGGGCATTCAGCCACCGCGGTTGAGACGCATTTCCCCCCACACACACTCCCACGGGTCAACGGGGCGAGCAGGGGAGGCACGGGACAGCATGAATAGCGGGGTCACAGGGGCTGTTGCGCATAGTCATGGAGGGTTGGGATAATTGCGCTTGAGCGCGCAGGCCCCATTGTTAGGGAGGGTAAGGGATTAAGTAGGATTTACGCCTTGCACACAGCACACTGATTAGCATATCAACAGCGCCCAGAACCGCCGTGCGCGTGCCAGAGGATCGCGAGCCCATTGTTTAGCGCAGCATCCCCTTTGAGGTAGGGAGGATAAATAGAGGGGCGCAGAGGGAAAATAGCGGTTCTCTCCAGCGCCAGGCGACAGGACGCTCTCCAGTCCAGCGACCCGATCGTCCGTGAGACGCATCGAGGTGCGCTGCGAGCACGGGATCAACGAACCGCCGTGGGCATCCAGCAGGAAGTAAGTAGGTGAATTAGAATCATAGCAGATAAATCGGGAATAGGTATAAAGGTATCAGCGTAGGCCAGCCTCGTCGACTCACTGATTTAACATTAAATTACCAGGTATCAGATAATAAATCATTAATAGCGAAGCGTGGTCTCGCGTGATATTGTCGTGCAGTGTGAGCGTGTGGGTGCGCGTGTGTACACTGTGGTTCACCACGTGAGTGAGCGCTGCGTGGAGCGGCGCACGAGTGGGTGTCGCGTGTGTGCAGGTGTGTGCGCTCGTAGTGTGGGTGAAGGGGTCGGTGCGTCCGCAGGTCCCCGATCCGTCTGTCGCCGCCGGGACTCGCGCAGTGTGAGGGCAGCGTCGTTCGCCCCCGACCCCCGTTTAATAGCGCGTGATCCGTGGAGAGACAACGCAGCGTCTGCAGGTGAACGAGGGCGTGCGGCGAGCTATGCCTCTCACACGAGCTCGCGGAGGGACGGACCAGGGAGGGGAGCCGTCGGGCGATGAGCCCAGCGACGGCAGCAGCTGCTCGCAGAGCAGCGAGGGGTCGGCGCACGGCGGAGCCCCTGCCATAGGCACGGAGCAGGGAGGGACTCCGGGGACCAGCGGCCCCAACATTAGCGATATGTATAGTTGAGCAGCGTCACGCATGGTGAGCACAGAACAGTGAAAAAATAATTACCTAACAGACTCAACCACAGCATGTATATAATCTTCCGGCTACGTCTTTACAGCTAGGCCTACCACTCCGACTGCGCTTCAGACAATCTGCTACAACAGGGATCACGACAAGGACACATGCTGATATATCTACCAATGAGGTTACCTATGACATCAGTGACGCCAATACAGCAACAGCTAACCTACGAATTCAACAGCAGCCTGACCACAACAGCATCGTCCATCATCACTTTGAACTGCAGCACATTTGACATCTTTCAAGGCGTGGTTCATTAACTAGGGGCGTTGGGGCGCCGCCCACCAAGCAGCTGGAGATGAGAAATTATTTTTGTAATAAAAAATACTTTTTAAAAATGTTTTGTTGTTTTGACATTTTTTTTTAATATCGTGATTCTTTCAACGTTAATTGCCTCATGAAGATATTTTAAGTTGTTCATATTATAAACCGCTGCAATAAAGTTTGATTTGTACCTCAGGGAGGACTCGGGGCGGCCGTGAAGGCATGCAAATGAGAGCTATCACTTCACACATTGCGATTAGCTTAACATTTTCGCCACGCCGTTTAAGATGCATTCAGGGTGGTGAAAAAGGCGCCCATGGCTGTAATTACTGTCAAAATGCTAAGTTGCATTGTGCAAATATAGCAGGTCACGGCTTTTGGCAATATCAAAGGGGTGTGTCGTGTGGACTTGAGGGTCATGGGGGCAGCATTTGAGCGCTGTTGTTTTGCTTAATATTGTTTATAAATGCCTACTGTTGCTAGAAAAGGCAGTTATATCACTTTCACGGGAAGGCCAATAACATGACGAGGTTACTCACAATAGCCCCACCTCGTGGAAATGTCAGAAGCCGCTACTGCATCTTTCCCTGAAGAAAGAAGATAGGACATTTGCCAGCACATAGCAAGACAATTATATCTCTGAATCAAAAGGCTTACAAGCATGATCCATGGCAGAACCTGGACCTGCAAAGCTCAACCACAGCAGACACACGACTATGCAAGGCCTCACGGGGCAGTTGCATTCATTCATAGGGCCTGGGAGAAATATGAAACTGACATAGATGAGTACTGTGAAAAATTTGAACGAGCATGGGATAGGATTGAGCCAATCCAACAAGCTATGAATCAGTTGATGTCCCTCTATGGACGTTACCAACTGCTGTCTGAGAACTGTTTGGCATTCTCAACAAGAACTAATATTAAGGAAAGCCTGCAAGAACGAGACCTTCAGAAATACATCAACCAGGATCTTGAGAACCTTCTGGACAGGAATCAAAAAGGCTGAGAGTTGGTTCCTCGAAGCACGTTGCAAAATCTTGAAAAAATCACTGAAATCTAAAATATCGAAGACTGGTGCAGATACCATGGAAAGTGCTAAAGCAGATGCTGCATGCATGCGCGCCCCCTATAGGGTAAGGGAGGCAGCCATGAAGCTAAAAATAGCCCAATTGAATAAGAATGCGTGGCAGCTGCTATTGCAACAAGTGAAAAGTCGAGATGGAAATATATTTAAATTCTGTATATCAGGAAAATAAAGCAACTGTGGTTGAGGTCCAGTCCAAAGTATTAGATACAGTTGTAGAACAAGACAGTAGGGAGAACTGGAGTAGGACTGGCAGTCGGAGGCTTCCAGACGATGCTGGTCAACGCACCAGGGACTGTGTAATGAACCACTCCTGCGAGCATACTCGCCCATCCTCTCATCCTGACCACCAGGAAAAAGGTCACCATCCGTGATCCATGCGTTTGCACGCCGACGGATGCGCAAGGCCAGGGTCGCAATCCAAGGATTCAGACTGTCTGGATTAAGGGTGGGTGGGAGGGAGGGCGGTCGTATAGCGGTTTGCGCGCTGTGCTACAAACCCGGCGACCCGGGTTAGAATTCCGCTCACAGCCAACGCCGGTGACGAAAATCTGAACCGGTCCCGGGCCTCCCCTAGGTCAACTCGGCCTCAAATGAGTACCTGGTGCGGTGTGTAAACATCGCCGGGCGTGGTGCTGGTCACCCACCACTTCGTGTGCCGTTCCGGCCTTCATAGATGCTCGCTAACAGTGGGTGAGTGTGTAAGTGTATGAGTGGGAGCGTGTGGGTGAGCGTGTTGATGGGCGAGTGTAATTGTGTAATGCTTTGATGTCTCATTTCGACTAGAAATAAACGTTTGGGCTGGTTTCGTCCGAATATTCCAGTGTTGAAAAGCGGCCTGCAGATTACTCAATCGGGCGATACGCGCAGAAGCATCGCCCCCCCCCCTCCCCCCCGAATGCAAAACAAAAACTCGACGATCCTGAACTAGAGAATGGAGACTCTGAGAGGTAAAGCAGTCAGCCAGGTGAAGACAAATTAAACTTAGCAAGCAAATACAGGCAAGGCCTGCATGGCTAGGCTCCATGTTGTCCGGTTGCAACCTGGACATCGATTCCATACTTGCCGCTACTCAATTAATATCGCTACGAGAGAAGAAGCGAGGCTGTACCTGGGCAAACAACAACAACCAACATCACGATGCGAACTTCTCACCTCGGATCCTTCGCGAGTAACGCGTCCAGAAGCGGCTCTTGGCATCTCGTGACGTCACGCGGAAGCGCGCGGCGGTCGAGGTGACATGACGTCACTAACGAATAACATACTCCAATCTCCGCCCACTGAGGGCTTTAACTGAATACATTATGTTAATTTCATCATTGCCCACATTAGAGTTAATGGGCGTGTCTGCTGACAACGCATTCAAGACGGAATGAATAAAAGCTTTCGTGACTGCAGGAATTAATATTCTTTGGGTTGTTCAGTAAAGCCACATAGATAGAAAAATATAACAAAAATCTAAATCACGACGTTTCGATCACAACACAAGCAATCGTCTTAAGGTGAAAAAGAGGAAAATCTGCTGAGGCAGGCTGTTTATAAAGGTGTAATGTTGTAAATAACAGATGAATAAACTCCTTTAAGGCACACACTGGTTTATTGTCTTTCTTCCGACAGTCCCTACACACATGGAGGGATATACGGTTCACTCACCCGTAGCCTAAGGAGGTACAGCCTCCGTACCTGGCGGGACTTATACACGGGTCTGGCTGCTAGCCTAGGGAGGTTGTTGTATCTATGCCCTGTTTTCTTTGGTTCTTTCGGTTAAGTCACGTCTAAGGATAAAATAATAAATCAAAATAATAGCATATTACGACGTTAACCGAAAAAAACCAAAGAATAATTCCTGCAGTCACGAAAGCTCCAAAATTAAGATTGAACCACTTCTACGGGGAAGTTTTAAGCTTATCTTTTTTCTCTCTCTGGCTATTTGTTCTCTCTGCCTGTGTCCTCTCTTTGGAATTTTCACACTTAAATTCTAACTTAGCAATCTTTGAAATACGTAATCAACCAGGCTATGCGTTAATTGTGTGTTGACCGACTCTCTGTGTTGCATTACATCACATTTCGATATTTTGCGAGGTTATTTAATTTTAGTGTGCCTTTCTCCTAATTTTCAAGCTTGCGTGCCGTGCCACGTCGTCATCCTACTTGCGCAGCAGCAGCACGTTGCCGTCCACGCATTGATATGCTAATTTTCTCTGCCCCCTCCCTCTCTCCGTCCCCACCCCCCCTCTCTATATTTAAGGGACCGTCACAGAAACGACCCCTCTCTTTGTGCCGATATGTGTCCTCTCTCTGTGTGTCCTTGTGATGTCTGTCTGCTTGTATGTCTGTCTATAGTTTTCTAGATAGATTTTTGTTGCTATTTCTTTTATGCCTGATGATGATTGCTTGTGTTGCAATCGAAACGTCGTAATATGCTATTATTTTGATTTATTATTGTATCTTTAGACGTGACTTAACCGAAAGAACCAAAGAATAATTCCTGCAGTCACGAAAGCTCCAAAATTAAGATTGAGCCTTAGCTCTTAGAAGAACTGGAAGGCTTAGTCCAGGGTCCTAGCTTCTTCAGCCCGGTCTTCGTGTGCGAACTCCCGCGCGCTCCCCGCGCTTGCCCTTTTATACCCGTTTGTAACTCTCTTTGACCAATCCCACGCTCCCTCGTGGAACCCTCTGATTGCTTCTTTACAATCCGTCGTTTCGATGCTCTTTTACCTTATGTGACCCCTGGCCGTTGGTCTGGCGGGAATCTGTGTTTAGGATCCGCTCTCAATCTCCCTGACCCCGGCCGTTGGTCCCAGAGCGATAACACTGCATTGCCCCTCTGATGCACAGTGGCCCCGCAGGTTACCGTATAGAGCAGGGGTCCTCAAACTTTTTAAACAGGGGGCCAGTTCACTGTCCCTCAGACCGTTGGAGGGCCGGACTATAGTTAAAAAAAAAACTATGAACAAATTCCTATGCACACTGCATATATCTTATTTTGAAGTGAAGAAACAAAACGGGAACAAATACAATATTTAAAATGAAGAACAAGTAAAGTTAAATCAACAAACTTGCCAGTATTTCAATGGGAACTATGGGCCTGCTTTTGGCTAATGAGATGGTCAATGTCCGGTTCCATATTTGTCACTGCTAGTCGTAACAAGTGATGCAAGTGTGCATCCGTTAGTCTAGATCTGGTTGGAGATTTCAAATGTTTCATTCTGGAAAAAGTCTGTTCACAGACATAAGTGCTGCCAATGATGGTTGCCATTTTGAGTGCATGGTTCCTGAGATGAGGATATATCTCAGAGGGGAGAGATGCATAGAAATTATGAAGGCTGCTTGACTTGAATGCGTCTTTCAGAGAGTCACAATTCTGCAGTTCAGCCAGTTCCATTTGGTAAATTGTATCCACATTTTCAATGTAAATAGAAAATGGGTTACGGAAAAGCTGTATGTCCTGTTCATGGAGATGAAGCTCTTTAAATCCAAATTGGAACTCCTTTTGCAATTTTTCCAGTGAATCCACACATGTTTTGTTTGGGAATGCAACCAATGGTTTTTCCGCTAACAGATTTTGAGTTGTGGGGAGATGGCAGAAGTTTTCCTCCTTCACTTGTTTGATGAGGAGGCCTAATTTTACTTCAAATGCTTTGACATTTGATTGCATATCACAGATGAGCTTCCCCTTTCCTTGAAGTTGCACATTGAAACTGTTGAGTAGCTCTGTTACATCTGTCAGAAAGGCAAGGTGCCATTTCCATTCTGCATCATTGAGCTCTGGTACTTCTTTGTTTTTTGAAAGCAGAAAAGCTGTAATCTGTGGAAGTAAGTCATAGAAACGTTTCAAAACTCTCCCTCGACTCAGCCAACGGACTTCTGTGTGATACAGAACATCTTCATAGTCAACATTTAGCTCAGACAGAAATTCCTGAAATTGTCTGTGGTTTAGTGCATGAGCTCTAATGAAGTTAACACAAGATACCACAAATTTCATAACAGAGTCCCACTTCAGTGATTTACTACACAGCGCTTGTTGGTGGATGAGGCAGTGTATGGCTATTGGATGAGAATGGTTATGTTTGTCCATCTCTTGGTTAATGCGAGCAATTACTCCTTTCTTAGACCCCACCATGCTAGGAGCACCATCAGTTGTCACACTGGCTAGTTTAGCCCAGTTCAGCTCCAAACCATTCACAGTTTGGCAAACCTTTTCATAGATATCCTCTCTTCTTGGTTCTTTCGGTAAAGTCACGTAGAGGGGAAATAATAAAATAATAAAAATAAAACATAATAAAATAATTCTCACGACGTTTCGGCCACAACGCAAGCAGCCATCCTCAGGTGAAAACCAGGTCTGTCAGGGAGACAGCGTCTGAATGAAACAGCACACGAGCTTGGAGCATATATATAAGCTGGGTTGGAAACGGGGGAAAGAGCGCCTTGACAAAATAATTTTCATATCAAGAGGAATTTAGCATATTTATGGGAAATGCAGGAATGTTATTAGTACTACATATGCAGCACGATGAATCCCTGCAGTCACGAAAGCTTTAAATCGAAAGATATCCTCTCCTGTAGTTGTTCCTTTGATGCTTTGCAGTGCAGCAAGCTCTTCTGTGACTTGGAAATAGTCATTCGTCCCACGAAAAAAAATTAGAAGTTGTGCAGAATCACGAACATCATTGCTTTCGTCGAGTGCCAAGGAAAAATAGGAAAGTTTTTTTGTGGAGTTTTGCAAATGCTGATGCGAATTGTCTCCCATTTCTACAATGTAATTGTAGGTCCTGAAAGATTCACTGTACTAAATAAATCGGCCTTCTCTGGACACATCTCTTTGGCAACAGAAAGAAGGCATTCTTTAACAAATTCTCCCTCCACGAATGGTCTGCCAGTGCACGCTATTAGCTTGGCAACTTGAAAACTTGCTCGCAGTGATGAAATATTTAGCTGCTTCTGCTTCACAAATGTATTTTGCTGAGTTGTTAATGTATTTTTCAGTTTTAATATTTTATCTTTTCTCACTTCTCCGACCAACCAATCATATTTATCTTTATGTTGAGTTTCATAGTGTCGACGTAAATTGTATTCTTTGAACACAGACACTATATTCTGGCATATCAGACACACAGTTCTTTCCTTGTACTGCATGAAAAAGTAATCATAAGTCCACTGTTCTTTGAATATCCTACAATCCGAGTCAATTTTTCTCTTTCTTGACATCATTGTTTCCTAGGGAGTCAAAATTGCTATTAGTAAAATACCAATATATATATATACAGCGCTACAAAAACAATATACCAGCAATAACTTTGCCCACACAGAGACATACAGACTGCACTGCCCATCAATGCAGTCTGATTGGGGGGAACTCCGTCCCCTCTCCCTCTTCCACCAATGACCGTCCTTCTCATGTGGAAAAAAAGTAACAGACAGGCAGCGGCGGCAAAAACACCCGGCGGGCCGGATAAATGTCCTCGGCGGGCCGCATGTGGCCCGCGGGCCGTAGTTTGAGGACCCCTGGTATAGAGTGTCTAGCACCTCTACATCGGTTTATAGATGGGCGGGGCAGCTAATGTTAATGTAGGAGCGAGTAGGAGAGTGCGAGTAGGAGAGAGAACTTTGCTTGTAAATGTAAGCTCGGCGAGGGCCAAGCTCGGCTAGGGCCCGGACGACGCAATGGCAAGCCGCCATTTACTAACACACCTAAAGGTTGGCTGTGTTAGTGAATGTAACTCAGAGATTCGAAAATAACTGCTAACATAGGTAGGTAGGATAGGAACATCACAGCCAGTTATAACCTAAACTGGTTAATAACGTCCTTCCAATGATTGCTCATTTTGCACCCATCTTTTGAACACGTCGGCTTTCGCGACCAATATTATTCATAATTAACGTTTTTTGGATTAGATCGCGTTATTCATAAAGGTGTCGTAACCCTCCACCACCCGACACGGCCAATCAGTAAAAAAGTGTCACGTTGACAAAAGACAAATAGTTCACTACTTTAGCCCACCGGTGTGTTGAAGAGTGAATCTACAACATTTACAATTTTTGAGTACGCCGTTTCGCTGGCAATTACATCCAGCATCATCGGGCAATTTGACAAAATAGTAAAGCCCTCACTTGCTCCCGGTCTTAAATAGAGCAGCAGGGTGACGTCATCATTTAACCCATTCAGGTGCAGTGATTTGAGGCAGAGGGGGGGTATTGTAATTATATAATAGATTAGTAATCCGTCAATTGTTATGATTAGTAATAAGTTGTAGATTAGTAATTAGTTTTAATGTGTATGATTTAATAACTGAACCCAATTACTATAATCACTCAAGTACATAACTTAAATGGGGGGGGGGGGTGGTATTATTATATAGTAGATTAGTAATCAGTTAATTATTATGATTAGTAATTAGTTGTAGATTAGTAATTAGTTGAAATTGTGTCTGTGTTTATATATCTGGATGGCTGATAGCCAGTGGGTTTGCAGAGTACCTTCGTCTTGGCAAAATCAATTCCATGTGTGCCCACCACATTAAAATAATGATCAGCCATGGCTGAGGTGTTGGTCCGACCGTGTTTTAGATCTGCCTTATGTTCACAAACCCAGTCCGAAACATGTCGCTTAGTTTCCCCAATGTAACTGCTGCCACAAACACAGCTTAGTTTGTAGATACCCCGGGGTATTGCATGTCAGGGATCACATCCTTCACAGATGAGATCAAATCACGAATTTTATGTATTGTCTTGAACCGTACCTGGATCTTGTGTTTGCTCATGATTTTGGAAATCGTTTTGGTGACCCCTGCTATGTATGGCAAGGTAATGGTTTTGATTGGGTCCTCAGATGGTTCTTTCCCAACGGTTGGGGTAATAGCTTTATGGATTGTGTCGTCTGAATATCCATTCTTCTTGAGGGCTTGGTGTACGTGCTCCAGTTCACTGACTAGGTAGTGATGGTCGGAAATACAACGAGCTCTATGGTATAGAGTTTTGATGAGGGAATTCTTATGGGATGGATGGTGGTGAGTCAGGTTTTAGGTAGGCATCCGTGTGGGTGGTTTTCCTGTAGACAGTGTCCTATTGAGCCATCAGGTGTCTTTTTGATTAAAACATCCAAGAATGGTAACTTGTAATCCTTTTCCACCTCCATGGTGAATTTGATGGCTGGGTGTACGGAATTGATGTGGTTGAAAAATTGGTCCAGAGCTGATAGGCCATGTGGCCAGATGACGAACGTATCATCAATGTATCTCTTCCACAAGGAAGGACGTAGGGTGGATGCTTGGATGGCATCTGTCTCAAATTTTTCCATGAAAATTTTGTTTGTAGAATGTTCCATTCCAGGTGAAGTAAGTGTTGGTGAGGCAGTGTCTAACCAGGGCCGGTACATCAGCATTCAGTCCTTGTGGAACCAAATCTCCAATGATTGTAATGGTGTCAGGCACCGGAACTTTGGTAAACAAAGATACCACTTAGAAACTGACAAGCAAATCACCTATAGATAGTGAGATGTCCTTAAGTGAAGATATCAAGTGAGCTGAGTTAAGCACAACTGAGGTGGTCTTACCAGTGAATGGTTGCAAGGTCTCAGACAGAAATCCGGCTAGTTTGTAGGTGGGTGAGCCAATGGTGGAGACGATAGGACGGAGTGGTGGTAAGTCATAAAATGTACGTGGCCTAGCAGCAGAGGGTTTTAAGGAAAGCCGCCTGGTTGGCTCGATTAAAGATGTCTAATCAGTGATGATGTTGTTGGTTTTCATAACCAGGCAGTTGATAGGATCTCTATTAATTTGGTATAGCTGCCATCATTAAGTAGGTCCTGAATTTTGTTATTGTATGTGGTTTTGTCTATGATGACAGTGGCATTGCCCTTGTCGGCTGAGAGGATGACTATATCATCTCTCTTTTTTAGTTGAGAGAGTTCAAGGCGCTCATCCTTGCTGATGTTGCTAATAGGTGTCTTAGCGTTTTTGAGGATTGCAGCGATTTCCGATCTTGCTACGTCTGCAGGAATGTGTCCCAAACCCTTAAGGGCTACGTCGACCTGGGCAATGATAGCATCAACTGGGATGTGTTTAGGGGTGACTGCGAAATTCAACCAGTAATTGGGGGGGCTTCGACCACACGAGGATTTTAATGGAACAGAAATCGGCAGTGAACAAATAAACGTGACGTCACGCGCAGGTGGGCTGATGGGTTGTGTGAGCTCCTTGGTGACATGACGTCACTAGTGGGGTACCCTCACCCTGGGGTCAGAAAGCTGGGTGAGTGCTTCTGTTTGGCCGAATAGATGGGGGCTAAACGGGCACGACATGAGCTGGAGAAGAGATGGACTGATGCGGTACAGGAGGATATGGAGCTGAGTGGACTTGCCAACGACTGGTACCAGCGATGTCAAGATCGGCCTCGATGGAGGAAGCTTGTGAAGGACGCTACTGATCATATGGAGGCAGTCACCCTTCAGCAACAATAGAGGGCAGAGGAGCGACGCTCACAACAACGAGTGGAGAAGGGGGTACAGCTGGTGCATCTTCAGGTCATCTCAGTCAACAAACCCATGGCACCTGGGTCTGTCCCGAGACCTGCTGTCAGCGAGCCTTCGACGCTTCCTCCTCGTAGGAGCGCCGCTGACAGAACAACGGGCAGCCGGGCCGCCGCCGCCCGAAGACAGGCCGATTACCCCGGTCACGAGCGCATGCGAGGTCCTTACGGTAAAATGTATGGGACCACGGTGTGGATGACTGTTGTCGGTCAACAAGTTCGACGCGTTGCCAAAAACCGTACACCCTCTTGGGGACATTTCACCTCCAGAGTCACCACACACGCGCATGCAAGCATTTGAGACGGAGGCATTGTTCGTGTGGTTCGTTTATTTTATTTCATGGTTACACAAGTTCAGTTGTGAGCCAGGTCGTCCCCTGCGGTTGGGCCAACTCTTCACCCTTTACAGGGATGGGTGGACCTAGCAAAGGACGGTTAGGTTTTTTTCACATGGGGGGGGGGGTAATGTAGTGATTGTCCCACATGATCCCTGGGACAGAGTAATCAAGAAGGCTGGAGCAAACACTCCATGCTTTCGTTGGTTAGGGCAGGGAACAAGAGGATTGGCCAGAACATTCAAAAGGAAAAAGAGCAGGAGGTTGGGTGAGCATCAGGTTCGGACAGGTGAGGGTAAGAGAGGATGATTGGTGAAGAGGAAGTGCGACAAGAGGCGGAGCCAGGAAGAGGTTAAAATAAGAGTGGGTGAAGGAGTTTGGGGCATTGATTAACAGAATGAGAATGAAGATGGGGACCCGTGCCGTGAAATAAAGACATTACCTTGTGGATAAAGAAAAGGGCCATAGTTTTATCTCAACTGTGTGAATTGGCAAGAAGGACATTTTTCAAAGGATTTAGCTCTGTTATTTGCGAGCATCTCTTCCTGTTCTGTGATTTTAAGGTTCGTGATGTTTAACTGCGTCAGATATGTGCTTTGTGGTTAATGTGGTGAAATTGAGTTATGCTTGAACCATTTGATGTTCACCTAGTAGGGTGAAGTTTGGTTGTAGTGGACATCTGGTCTGAGGTCGTGTTGGTACTGTTGAACCTGGGGTTGTTTTCACTGGTTTTCCCACCGGTGCTTGTTAGGATATACTGCTATTGTTATACGCTTTACTCTGTTTGAGTGAATTAAAGGCTTATATTTGTAACTGTTCTAAATCAGTTGTGGTGTTCCCTTTGGTTTTCTATTCCATCCCACATCAATTCCTATAAGAGTGAGCATGGCGTCCAAACCAGCACCCTCACCACTCATTTAAGATGAAGCCTCACAAATGGCGAGCCTTAGCAGTTCCGATGGTCCACGGACGCGTGCTAAAGCAGACGCACCATTCGAGGCAAAAGCGCAGGCAGAGGAATTGAGTGGGGCATTCGGTGGCATTCCGATGCAGTGGTGTGTGGATGTTTGGTGGAAACACGCTGGGAAAGAGAGATGAGTTATTGCCATACTTTTAGGTCAGTTGGCAAGATGCTCTTTTGGAATCAGGCTGTTCTCATAGCCTGATCAGTTTGGCAACGTTGGTCAAATTTGGGATACGTGGTCCCTCCGCGAAGTCCGCGGTGGATAAGATAATTTTGACGGATTCCTCTTCGATCTCAGTGATGGGTGAGGCTAAATTGAAAATCAGTAACGAGGGGAAAGAAATAGTGAATAATTTTTTTGGAAGTCCCCACGCTGTCGTTGGACATGGTGTTGGGAGTGGATTTTTTCAGGATTGGGTATCTGCTGGATTTGGTGAATGGTCAGCAGATTTCACCTCTGGGAGCCACTTATCAATTGTTGTGATATGAAGAGACTCCCTTGATGATCGTGCCACCTAGAAAAATGGAGCGGTTTAAAGTGTCCACTTTATCCGATGCCAATCAGAGTAGCTTTTACAGGGGTGTTCTCTCAATACCCTCATGTGTTCTCGGCTAAGACTGGGAGAACTACTACGTTGCAGAACACTATTCACTCGGACATAACCCTATTCGCCTCAAAAGCAGGAATTCATCCATGATGAGATTTGAAGGATGTTGGCTGAGGGGTGTATTGAAACAAACTGTTCTCCATCCTCTTTGGCTGTGCTCGCAGCGAAAAAATATAGTGATTGGCGATTTTACGTGGACTACCGGAAGGTGAATGCTGTCACTATGCCTGATTGATACTCGTTGTTGCAGATTGTGGACTTGTTGACGTCGGTAGGTGGAGCTAAATGATTCTGCACTTTTGTATCAATTTAAGGTAATGCCGTTTGGGCTGAGGAATGTGCCCACCACGTTTCAAAGATTGATGAATGAGGTGCCACGGGGATTGCTGGGCGTTTGCTGCTAGGAAACTCCCCATATGAACAAGCAGACGTGACGTTAGGTTTGCGTGGTCGCTTCCGATTTTCATTCCCGTAACACAAATACCACTGGCGGCTCATCAACGTAATTTATGCATCAATTATGTCGCGTGGTTCATTATGTCCGGTTCAGCGGTCACGCCCAATCACTCCATATATGGGCATGCCTCGTTAACATAATTTATTACGCACGTCCCTGTTGACTTGAGGTGTGGGTGCTAGTGACGTCATGTCATCTCCCCGCCGCGCGCTTCCGTGTGACGTCACGAGATCCCAGGAGCTGCTTCTGTGCGCACAACTCCCTCGGATCGGAGGTGAGAAGTTCACATCGTGATGTTGGTTGTTGTTGTTGTTTACCCAGGTACAGCCTCGCTTCTTCCCTCCCTCTCTCTCTCTCGTAGCGATAGCAATTGGGTAGCGGCAAGTATGGAATCGATGTCCAGGTTGCAACGGTACAACATGGAGCCTAGCCATGCAGGCCTTGCCTCCGGCCCTTGTCTGTATTTGCTTGCTAAGTTTAATTTGTCTTCACCTGGCTGACTACTTCACCTCTCAGAGTCTCCATACTCTCGTTCAGGATCGTCGAGTTTTTGTTTTGCATTCGGGGGGGAGGGGGGCGATGCTTCTGCGCGTATTCCCGATTGAGTAATCTGCAGGCCGCTTTTCAACACTGGGATATTCGGACGATACCAGCCCAGACGTTTATTTTTAGTTGGAATGAGACATCAAAGCATTACACAATTACACTCGCCCACCAACACGCTCACCCACACGCTCCCACTCATACACTTACACACTCACCCACTGTCAGGCGAGTATCTATGAAGGCCGGCACGGCACACTGAAGTGGTGGGTGACCAGCACCACGCCCGGACTGCCTTTGTCTCCCTAGTGGCGATGTTTACACACCGCACCAGGTACTCATTTGAGGCCGAGTTGACCTAGGGGAGGCCTAGGACCAGTTCATATATGTGTCACTAGTGTTGGCTTTGAGGGGGAAATCGAACCCAGGTCGATGGGTTCATAGCACAGCGCGCTAACCGATACACGACCACCCACACACACTCACCCACCCACACACACTCGCCCACACAGACAAAGACAGTTTAAAGAGGTGAGTTTCCAAGACGGACTTAATTATATCTATCGACTCTCTTACTAATCAGGGTGACCGCTTAATTTGACCAGAGTGGTGAACCTGGAATGGTGGATTGGTGATGTTTGCACGGCAGTGGGTCCAGCCTGCTTAGGACAGTGCGTGGACAAAACCTGCCCTGATAATTGGTTCTTTACCCTTCTATCTGGCAACAAAACTGACACCTTTTTGCAAGGAGTCATGTTTGCATAGACCGCAATACCTGCAGTCATAATACAAACAAAAGAACATAACTCTGATAATGTGCACTGTCCTTGAAGTTGATTGGTCCACACCCGAGACAGCTTTCCTTCGAGCCTAGTCTCATATGGGTTGGACCAGATGACGCCAAAAGGCGCACAACTCAAGGACAATGCACCATCAGAGTATGAGAGCTCGGGGCAAGCATCTACACTATGGGGACCTCAAAACCTGCCCTGTCACTTAGTGAGGAGGCAGACTGACCAGCGGCTTCCACAGTCGGTGTGAGTGCCCTTGCCCTTTATACCCAAAGCTCACTTAGCGCTCCTCCAGATGCGTTGTTCCTGGAGAATTCAGCGCTAATCTATCAGCGCTACAAAGGGTCATCATAAACCCATTGTGTACTACATAAGGATGCGTTCCTGACAATGGTATAGCTTTAGTATGAATAATATGAGGGTTTCATTGGGGTATCGGTAATAGCGCTAATAATACAAATACTAAACATTTAATAAACATTATTTATAACATCAGTATTATGTACTATGCTTACAAGTGCATTCTACTTTACTAATCCTACAAGTCAGTGGAGGAAGACAAGGTTGAAGAGCTGCTGCGCTTCCAGTCCGGGTCATTCTCAGAGAAAGGCTTCAGGACCTCCCTGATCTTAATGAAGCCCTCAATCTAAATTTGTGTGGCGAGGTTTTTTTAGGTGGAGTCTGAGACTCTATCCTGATCGTGTGAGTTCTCAACTGGCTAAACGAGTCAATGTTTTTTTAAATATAATCATGACCACGAATCGTGATCATTAAATCGCGGGGTGTGGAGTCTGGTTGGCTGAGAGCATGCGTCGCTCTCATTGGCAGAGCGAACAATGGGTACGTTTGCTTGGCGAGCGCTGCTGCGTGTTCTCACTCGTGAGCACTTTGAAAACTAAACAAAATTAAGAACAAAAATATCCAGCACAAAGAGCGCTGTAACAAATCTGCACTCTAAAGGGTCGCACTAAGCAAGGTCTGCCTGTGTATTGTGTGTAATATGTATGTATCTGCAGATTCAATCACATGGAGAAGAGAGGCTCGGCAAAAGCTGGAAGTAAAAGGCACCAATGCATCCAGTGTCGATACAGCACAGATCGTATGGATAACTTGAAGAGACATCAGAGAAAACATTCAGGTGAGAATCCTTTCAAGTGCACTGTCTGTGGGAAGGAGTTTATATTATCAGGAAACTTAAAGAGGCATGAGAATATCCACAAGGAGAAAGTGAAATCGACTTGTGAAAGTCAACATGCTGCAATGACCCCATCTCTCATGAAACAAGAATCAGAAGAAAATTCCAACTTGGCAACACGGCCAGGAGTGACAGTGAAATGTGAAGAAGTGAAATGTGAAGAAGTGACGGTGAAATGTGAAGATCAAGATTTGATTCTAGGAGCCAATCTACAAGTGGATGGAGGCAGCATGAAGCAGGAGGAGCATTGCGATTCTGAGGGAGAGCGAATCAATCACATAGAGAAGAGAGGCTCGGCAAAGGCTGGAAGTAAAAGGCACCAATGCATCCATTGTCCATACAGCACAGATCAGATGGGTAACTTGAAGAGACATCAGAGAAAACACACTGGCGAGAAGCCCTTCAAGTGCAGTGTATGTGGTAAGGCATTTGCAGAGTCAACATATCTTAAGAAACATAATAGAATACACACGGGCGAGAAGCCCTTCAAGTGCACTGTGTGTAGCAAGGCATTTGCTCGATCAGAAACTCTTCATATTCATCAGAGAACACACACCGGTGAGAAGCCCTTCAAGTGCACTGTGTGTGGGAAGGCATTTGCTCATTCAGACATTCTTCATGTTCATCAGCGAACACACACAGGTGAGAAGCCCTTCAAGTGCACTGTGTGTGGGAAGGCATTTGCTCAACCATTAACTCTTCATATTCATCAGAGAACACACACCGGTGAAAGGCCCTTCAAGTGCACTGTGTGTGGGAAGTCATTTGCTCAATCAAAAACTCTTAAAATTCATCAGAGAACTCACACAGGCGAGAAGCCCTTCAAGTGCAGTGTATGTGGTAAGGCATTTGTAGAGTCAGCACATCTTAAGAAACATAATAGAACACACACGGGCGAGAAACCCTTCAAATGCACTGTGTGTGGCAAGACATTTGCTCGTTCAGAAACTCTTCATATTCATCAGAGAACACACACTGGCGAGAAGCCCTTCAAGTGCACTGTGTGTGGGAAGGCATTTGCTCATTCAGACATTCTTAATGTTCATCAGCGAACACACACCGGTGAGAAGCCCTACAAGTGCACTGTGTGCGGGAAGGCATTTACTCAACCATTAACTCTTCACATTCATCAGAGAACACACACCGGTGAAAAGCCCTTCAAGTGCACTGTGTGTGGGAAGTCATTTTCTCAATCAAAAACTCTTAAAATTCATCAGAGAACACACACAGGCGAGAAGCCCTTCAAGTGCAGTGTATGTGGTAAGGCATTTACAGAGTTAGCACATCTTAAGAAACATAATAGAACACATACGGGCGAGAAGCCCTTCAAGTGCACTGTATGTAGCAAGACATTTGCTCGTTCAGAAACTCTTCATATTCATCAGAGAACACACACCGGTGAGAAGCCCTTCAAGTGCACTGTGTGTGGGAAGGCATTTGCTCAACCATTAACTCTTCACATTCATCAGAGAACACACACCGGTGAGAAGCCCTTCAAGTGCACTGTATGTGGGAAGTCATTTGCTCATTCAAAAACTTTTAAAATTCATCAGAGAACACACACAGGCGAGAAGCCCTTCAAGTGCAGTGTATGTGGTAAGGCATTTGCAGAGTCAGCATATCTTAAGAAACATAATAGAACACACACGGGTGAGAAGCCCTTCAAGTGCACTATGTGTGGGAAGGCATTTGCTCTTTCAAAAACGCTTCATGTTCATCAGAGAACACACCAAGTTCATAAGTCCTACAAGTGCATGGTGTGTGGGAAGGTATTAGCTCATTCAATGTCTCTTAAACATAAGACAACACATCCAGGTGAGAATCCTTTCAAGTGCACTGTCTGTGTAAAGGAGTTTACATTATCAGGAAACCTAAAGAGACATAATATCTACAAGGAGAAAGTGAAATCGACTTGTGAAAGTCAACATGCTGCAATGAGCCCATCTCTCATGAAACGAGAATCGGAAGAAAATTCCAACTTGGCAACACGGCCAGGAGTGGAAGTGAAATGTGAAGAAGTGGCGGTGAAATGTGAAGATCAAGATTCGACTCCATTACCCAATCTACAAGGGAATGGAGGCAGCGTGAAGCAGGAGGAACATTCCGATTCTGAGGGAGAGCAAGGCAATCCCCAACAGTTTGTGGATGTCGAGGTGTGGGTGGAGTTTTTGGACAAAGCTGAGTAGGAGGGGCCAGCACATGTGAAATGGCATCTGGGAAGATGTGTAACCAGGAGTTTTAGACAGATTTTCCAAAGCATTCGCCTTATTCACAGGCTTCTGTCATAAAAAAAATGCATATGGGTGTCGGTGTCATCCAATCAGAGATGAGCTTTATGTATATATGAAGTAATTGAGTGTCAAAGTGAAATACAGGCAGTCCCCCAGTTACAGAAAGGTTGGGTTACCAAAGGGTTAGGTTCCAGAGATCCTCAACCCAAATTTCCGTATGTTAGAAACTGAACAGTTTTCTCCCAAAATAGCGATAAAATCCCATAGCCAGAAATATAGTAGCCAGAAGGTTTGCAGAGCACCTTGGTCTCGGGAAAAAACAATATCATGAGAGCCCACAGCATTATAGCAATGGTCAGCAACGGCGGAGGAATTAATTCTGCCGTGTTTCAGATTTGACTTCTTCACATTTCACTGTCACTAGTTCGTTTTTTCTCAGTACTGTATCGCGATGTCATCCGTTTTCTAACGCACCTGTATCGTATCGCTGTATATACGCTCTGCACCTCCTATGGTTCTTTCACTTAATAGAATATCGACCTTATCCATAATTAAACTAATGGAAAATATACTGTATATAATTGTTCATACCACTATACAATTTTATATTTATTGCTATCAGAAACCAGTCTTTCCGAATGTTCGTTTACCGTGCATTACACTAGGCCTAGACCTCCGATCGCTGTTGGCTGAGACCATAAAGAATTGAAGTGTAATTGTGTTAAATAAAGTACATACAGTAAATTACTCATGAAATAAACTTAAACTGTAAAAAACTACAGGACGATGTGGCGGGTATACACATGGTAACAATTACGAAATTGCTTAACTTCGTATTTATTAAAGTGCATTTGAAAATAAATCGTAAAAATAGGTTAGGAGCATCCAGAAAAGCTTGGCCACACTAGGCAACCACTTTAATAGCAATGTCCAAAAGTTACAATTTATACTTCATCATAAATTACTTAACTTTCAAAATAGGCTCGTAATGTATGCTTTAATAACTAAAGTCCCCCGGTTGCAGAAGGACTTGACTTACGAAAATCCGATTTTACGGAAATACTTTAATGCAGCGTGGTAAGATTTCGGAAGCATAAGGCCTTACGCATCACTCTACCCAAACGCCGCATGCATCGAGCACGTGCTTCACTAGGTTAAGGTAAATGGATTTTGTTTGAGTGTTACGTAATTATTACTAGCTGTACTACCCGGCTTCGCCCGGGACTTGTATCCACCACGGCCGGCCGCCTTTGTCTCCCCAGTGGCGATGTTAATACGCCACAGCAGTTACTCGTTTGAGGCAGAGTCGACCTAGGGGAGGTTCAAATAATGGTGACCGGTGGTGGCCGTGAGCGGGAATCGAACTGGGTTCGCCGGGTTGGTAGCGCAGCGTAGCGTTAAGCACTACACCCACCGATCCTCACACACCACACACGCACAGACACACACACAGACACACACACAGACATACGCAGAGACACACAGACAGACACACACACACAGACACACAGACAGCACGCTAAGCAGTACACTACCGCTCCCCACACACCACACACGCACACACACAGACACACACACACACAGACACACAGACACAGACAGCACGCTAAGCACTACACTACCGTTCCCCCTACACAACACACGCGCGCGCGTCCATAGGTACACATACACGCGCTTGCTGCAGACACACACGACTTTCAGGGAGCAGCAATGCTGCGCAAGGAACGCCTTAGACCTGCAACACATTTGTGTAATGCGAGCGTAAACACACAAACACATACAAACACATACACAATACACACACACATACATGCAGACACACAGACACACACATAACACACATACATACACAGACATACATACACAGAAACACATACACACATACATAGACACACACATACATACACACAAACACATGCACACGCGTACATACACACATACATACAGACACGCAGACATACACATAAAGACATACAAAAAAACGCACATACATACACACACACATACACACAAACACATACACACACATACATACACACATACATACAGACACACAGACATACACATAAACACATACACACATAGACATGACCCGGCTTCGCCCGGGACTTGGATCCACGATGCCCGGCCGCCTTTGTCTCCCCAGTGACGATGTTCACACACGACAGCAGTTACGCGTTTGAGGCTGAGTCGACCTAGGGGAGGCCCAGGTCCGTTTCAAATAATCGTCAGCGGTGGTGGGCGTGAGTTGGAATCGAACTGGGGGCGCTCAACCAGCTTAATGACTATTTGTACAAAGAACATATAAAGAATCGATTATAATAAGCAGGCAACAGTCCACATTATAGACTGCCAGTACACGCACTCAGCTTCATAAGCAGGCTAGAGTGTACATGATAGAGTGGCAGTACGCTCACCGAGCTTAATAAGCAGGCTACAGTCTACATGATAGACTGGCAGTACGCTGACCCAGCTTAATGACTATTTGTACAGTGAACATTTAAGTAATCGATTGTTGGCGCGTTGGGTTTAAAAGTAATATTAATTGCACACATTGTGGTGGGGGTGGAGTGAAGAGTACGAAAAACTTTGATGAATTTACCTCAGAGTGGCGTGGTGGGTGTTGAGGCCTAGTAGCGTGCAGAGCCTGCGGCCTCGCCAAAATTGGGCACTTGGCGGAGGCAGGGTACGGGTGGCGTTCCTTCCCCCCCCCCTCAGCGCTCCAACAATATTGTGTAATGGCTATTATTTAATTAATTACGGAGCCTATGAAAGTGGCGAAGGCGTGGCTAGCCGTTGGCAGGGGCAACCGCCGTCCAATGAAAGTGCAGCCCTTAGCGAAGGCGTCGCTAGCCGTTGCCAGGTCCAATGAAAGCGGCGAAGGCGTCGCTAGCCGTTGGCAGGGGCAACCGGCGTCCAATGAAAGTGCGTATGGTCCGGAGACACACAGACACACAGACAGACAGATAGACAGACAGATTCGCGATTTTATATATATAGATTATTTTTTCCTTGTGTAGCATTACGTAATTGTTTTCTATGCTTAGAACTATATTTTTCCCCATGTTTCTATTGCTAGTTTTGTTTATTTTACGTTTATTTCATGAGTTATTTACCAGCGAAACGTCATACTCAAATTGTAAATGTTGTGGATTTAGTTTTACACGTAGGCTTTTGCAACCATTATCCATAGTAGAGGTTTTTGAGTTAGATCGCGTAAATATATAAATGTGTCGTTAAAACCCGACACCACCCGACACAGCCAACAAGTGTATACTCTTTGGTTCTTTCGGTAAAGTTACGTAGGTGAAAAATAAAAAATAAAAGTAAATTAAACCAGGAATGGTTTGAGAAGAAACTTGATGACTCTTTGGGACACTCTACAGGAAAGCTACCCACACAGATTCCTATCTGAAACCTGAATCCCACCACCATCCGGCACAAAAGAATTCCCTCATCAAAACACTGCACGATAGGGCCCACTGCATTTCTGACCAACACCACCTAGCCAGTGAACTGGAACACGTACACCAGACCCTTAAGATGATGGATACTCGGACCGCATTATCCGAAAAGCGGTTTCTCCAACCATGGAGAAACAATTCCCTGAGACGCCGATCAAAACCATCACGTTACCATACATAGCAGACGTTACCAAAAAGATTGCCAAAATCTTAAACAAACACAAGATCCAGGTCCGATTCAGTACAGTACACAAAATCCGTGATCTAATCCCATCTGTAAAGGATGCCATTCCTGACTTGAAATACCCTGGTGTCTACAAACTAAGTTGCATCTGTGGTGATTGTTACATTGGGGAAACGAAACGTCATGTCTCTGACCGTGTCCGCGAGCACAAGTCAAATCTGAAACACGGCAGAATTAATTCCTCCGCCGTTGCTGACCATTGCTATAATGCTGTGGGCTCTCATGATATTGTTTTTTCCCGAGACCAAGGTACTCTGCAAACCTTCTGGCTACTATCAAAGGTGTGTTCATGAAGCCATCCAGATATATAAACATAGACATAACTTCAACCGAGAAGATGGATACAAATTGAGCTGCTTTATATTTTGCTTTCCTATCTGCATCTCCAGTTTCTTACGTCTAGCCCTGCTTACTCCCATCACTTGGAAATTTACCGTACATTTCGAGCATGCTGCTTTCCACTCCCCTCTGATCCACGCCCTGCCCTCACACTCTCTATCATTGGCTCCTCCCCCTCCCTCATCTATATAATCCCTTGTTAAAAGCAGCTCTTTTGCCTACTTCAACAATTGTTTCTTGCTGTGGTTGTCCGCACCTGATGACAGACGCTTGTGTTGCGCCCGAAACGTGATTTAATTTACTTTTATTTTTTCACTTATGTGACTTTACCGAAAGAACCAGAGTATGGATCCTTGCAGTCATGAAAACTTCAAACCTAGAACAAGAGTATAGTAAGTGTTGTCACATAAACAGAACATGCCAATTCGTCACTAGTCCAGCGCACCGGTTGTGGCACACCGGTTAGTGCTGTACTAGTGACGAATTGGCATGTTCTGTTTACGTGACAACCCTTACGAGTTGGCTGTCGGGTGGTGGAGGTTTACGACGAATTTATACTTACACGGCCTAACCCAAAACTATTATGAGTTATTTACTTATGTACTTTGTAATACAATTGCACTTCAATTGCTTTTGGTCTCGGCAAACAGCGATAGTAGAAGTCTATGCCGAGCCTCATGCACAGTAAACGACCATTCGGAAGTGACTGGTTTCTATTAACAATTCATATTTAAAGTTTCCTGGTGTTCCTAAACAATTGGATACAGTATGTTATATTAGTTAAATTTTTGGTAGTGTTGAGGTAGATATTCGATGAAATTATAAAATCGTAGAAAGTGCAGAGGGTACATATGCGGCCATCACCAGTGATGATTATCCTTTTTTTCAACGGTTTTACTTAACTTGAAAGCTGTGTCATGGTCAAATCTTGTAATCTACATTTCGTCCACTTCCCGTTGTCCCATCAATCCCTATGTTTGCACACGTACTGAGTTCTGGTGACAATGCATGCCTGTATCAAAATCGCCATAAGTCAATCTATTAATTGGCTGCTTTAAAGCAATTAACACTTTGTATGGACACATTATTTATATAGATATTTGTGTAGGTCAAAAATGCCGCGGTCCCTACACTCTAGAATCGTCTCGCCCAAGAAGCAGGCGCCACGTGTCTCAGGCAGATTCATTTTTAAAATAATACATTTAATCAGGCAAGCGCTGATGTGGCAGCAGGCGCCGCATCACTGACGTACTTCGACGGTGAGTTAAACGAAATTGTGAAAAAAAATTCAACTTCATTCCTCTGTTTGCATGTCGTCAAATCTTGTAATAAAACTGTTGTCCTGTTCACCTTGTCAAATCGAGTTATTAAACTTCATTCCTCTGTATGCCGTGGTCTAATCTTGTAATCAATTGTCGTCCAGTTCATGTTGTCCAATCGATCCCAACTTTAGCACACATACTCAGATCCAGATACAATGCATGCCTGATTCAAAATCGGCATCAATTAATCAATTGCCTCGTTTAAAGCAAGTGATATTTTGTATGCAAGCCTTATTCGACGAGTGTTTTGCGAACAGGTTTTCTGAAAACAATATATTAATACCAACCTAGGAGTCGAGAGTTGTTTGTATGTCGTGGTCAAATAATCTAATCAAAATATCGTCCAGTTCCGGTTGTCCAATCGATCCCAAATTTTGCACACTCATATCCAGAGGCAATGCATGCCTGCATCAACATCGCAATCAATTAATCAATAGCTTGGCTCGTTTAAACCAATTAATATTTTGTATGGAAGCCTTATTCGACAAGTGCTTTGCGAACACGTTTTGTGAAAAATATGTTAATACCAACGTAGGAGTCGAGAGTTCGAAACTCGCCTAGAACATTTTCTTAGTACTATTGTGTGTTTCCTTATTTAAGGTCAACAGTAACATTCAATGCTTTGGTGTCTTTACAAAAGTTTATTATGATTTAGTGCATCCAATGGGACAATGCATGGAGAGGGTCCGTGGCGTCATTTTGGCACTCACCATATTTAAAGCGAACTTTTAACATTCATATTGATGTTTTTTTCCATTTCAAAATTAAGCTGGTTGTGGTGGACAAATCGGTTGAGTGTTGCCCTTTTCAAAACATTCTGCAATCAAATCTGTGAAGTCTGCACCAAATGCTGCTATCCTACTAATATTTACAGAGTACGAGGTAATGAAAATTCATTGCACTATCTACCAACCGAATTGTCATCAAAGCAAACATTGCAAATGTGTTCACGTTGCAAGCCACATATCAGCAATAACAATAGAGCTGCACCGCCAAAAGCTCACTGGAATAATGTTGATCCTGGTGAAATTCCAGATGTTATTTGCGTTTTACCTCAGCCAGAATAACGTCTTATCAAGAGTTATACCTTTTTGTGAAGATCATCAAATTCACTTCAGTATTCGGTCAATATGGCTTCCGTGCACAGGCAGTGCTCTTTGCTATGGACATCTTGAAGTTAGTGACACTTCCACGAGCAATGGCTAATACTGGAATGTTGACAACACAGAAGATCTTGAAAATCTCAACACCACACGCGCATTCTCTTTACATCGTGAACAGGTTTACAATGCACTCAACTGGCTAATTCAAAACAATCCACTTTATCGGGATTTAACAATCAATCAAGAAGTAAACATTGCTGATGTACTTAGTAATAGGGTTTTACCCTTTTAACTGGCAACAAAACTGACACCTTTATACAAGGGATCATGTTTGCATTAACCACAACACTTGCAGTCAAAATGCAAACAAAAAGACAACTGATAATGTATGCACTGTCCTTGAAATTGATCGGTCCACACCAGAGATGGCTTTTCTTAGAGCCTAGTCTCACATGGTGTTGGACCAGATGATGCCAAAAGGCGCACAACTCAAAGACAACGCACCATCAGAGTATTGAGAGCTCGGGGTAAGCAGTTAAAAGGGTAAAAACCTAATACTATATCTTGCTACTGGCAAAGGAGGTCTCAATCGTTAGTGTACGTTAAATTGCTATTCCTGCGCAACAACCAGTGGGGCAAAATCACCCGCAAGAACCTGCAAATGCTTACATGCTCATCCATGAAAGATCTAGATTTGTGTGGCTGCATGGCATCAAGCAAATGAAGATGTGTTTACATGGGCCAATGCAAGTGTGCAATTTTGTGCAATGTTGTGCAATGGTGTTGGCAAATATTGTAAGAGCTGCTATACTGCCACCAAGCATATGGATCACAAATACATTCAACGTGAACTTGATTGCAGGTCATGCAATGTATGAAGCCATTCGATTGGTCAAACTTGCGAGTCTACGATATGCAATGACAGCTAACGGATATCTGGAAGTCAAACATTTTTATGCCATAAGAAACGACTTCATTAATTTCAACTCATTCTCAATAGCCTATGATGAGGAAACACTTCTCGTTGGAAGTCTACAAGACTAAGCCAATGAAGGCGATTCAGAAGGAATCACTTTGGGCGATGCATTTAATGATTTGTTCACAAATCATCGGCTGGTGTACGAATAACAGGATCGAAATAATTAGGAATTATGCATTAGTGAAAAATACTACACTGATTCACATTCATGTGGTCAGAAAGATGCACCGGCAGGCAATGGCAGAGCATGCATAATTGAGTGTGACACAATTAAATAACTTAAACGAATCTGCAGACGATCAACAGGATCAAGAAATTTTCAATTCACCATCAACTTCATCGATGCTCATCCAAAAAAGTTGCAACAGATCATGAAAACTACTATTCTAGCCTTCTGGTTCAATACAAACCATACGGAAGTTAACAAGAGCTTTTGCAAGAATTTGATACTGCAAAGGAAGCATTTATAGCAAATGAACAATAGCTCAAACAGTTGAGTGACCATATGCAAGTGCATCGTGAACGCGATGGACAACTGGAGAACGCATTAAATCAAGTTCATGCACTCAACAATATCGAAGAAGCTGTACCAGTTCAAATGGAAGATGAAGAAGAAGAGGTGGCAGATGTCCCAATGAATGAAAAACAATTCCAATCGGCACGTACAGCAATGAAAGTAGGACCACAGGAAATGTTTTGAATGGTCGCAAAAAGCATTAACATACATTTGCATGAAGACCCTGAGAGTGAAGACTCTCGTCTTCATCACTGGTCGAGCTGGAGTGGCCAACACATTCCTACTGAAATTGTTGAAATATCAAATAAATCGTTGGTTTGCAAAGAAAGCTGTCATAGTCTGTGCATTAACTGAAGTCGCTGCGCGCCTTATCGATGGATCAACTATTCATTCCACATTCAAATTGTCTGTTCAAAGAGATGGTTGAAGCGCTACCATGTCACCATTATAATCCGACATTACTTCAGAACCACGCGACTACAATGGAAGGACATTGAATGCATCATCATCGATGACATATCAATGGTCTCATCAGATGCTATGCATGATTGATATGCGTCTTCGACAGCTGAAGAATAAGTATGATCAATTTTTCGGTGGTATCAATGTCCTGTTCTTTGACGATTTCATGCAGCTTCCTCCATTTAGACCAAAAAACACAACTGTCACTCCTATATATGGTCAGCCAGAATATCGGCAATCTGCCACTCATCTATGGAGATTATTCACACTGCGGGCTTAAAGCAAATATGAGACAGCAAGGTGAACACATTCCTGCGGAGGGAGCTGATAGGAACGTTGGGTTGCTCGGTCAATGGCCAGGGTCAACGGCGGCGTGGTGTATTCCGCAAATATGCCCGACTGTGAGGGTGGGCACAAGCCGGCGTGAGTAGGTTAAACGTTGAGTCTTATAAGGGCACCACGGGGTGACCAGCCCCTCCCCACCCAGCCCCACCCCTCCCACCCCCACCCAGCCCCACCCCTTCCACCCCCTACCCAGCCCCACCCTCCCCACCCAGCCCCTCCACACCCAGCCCCTCCACACCCTCCCCACTCAGCCCCTCCCCACCCAGCCCCTCCCTCCCCACTCAGCCCCTCCCTACACAACGGACACAATAGTCCCCTGTGGGCTGGTGTAACCAGGAGGTTCCTACCAGTATAATACCTTCATCACTATATTGAATGCACTGAGTTGGAGAAATGAGAGCTGAGCATTTCTCAGTATTGGAAAGCAAACGTCTTCAACAACTTATTGGAGAGTTTGCCATAGATAAAGCTCTGCGAATCTATCTATCGAAGAATCAAGTTAATGCTCATAATGAAGCAGTGCTTCAATACTTCAGAGCCCTATTTACACAACAACAGTACAAGATCAATTAGTGGATGCTGCAAGAAATGTTGAAAATATCGGAATAAACACAATCATTCCAAAGAACATCAATAAGACTGGAGGTTTGCCATGTGAATTGCTAATATATATAGGAGCCAAAGTCATGTTAAGATCCAACATTGATGTCTCGAAAGGACTTGTAAATGGTGTTGTTGGATATATCCGAAAAATCTATTGCCCTATTCCTAGTTGTGCATAATTGCACGAAAGACAAATACCTGAAATAGTTGCAATAGACTTTGGCAAGGACGACACCAAATGAAGCCGAAATCAGTTCCCTGCTACTCGTGGCTATGGTACAGCTGAACGAAGAATGCTGCCACTAATTCTATCATGGCCATTGACACTGCACAAAATGCAAGGATGTACAGTGGATCATGCAGTCGTGTACTTAGGATCAAAGCTCTTCGAAGCAGGTCACGCATATGTTGCCTTAAGTTGTGTTCGCTCGCTGGATGGACTTCCAATTGAAGATTTGGACATCCTAAAACTAACTGGAAAGACACCATGCTATAATGAAGCATTAGCAAAAATTAACAACATTAAAAATCATTAACCAAGTTTAAGAAACTCGATTTGTGTCTCAACAACTTATACACGCAAATATGGTTGAGTACATTGCAAACAACATCCAGTTAATTGCAAACAACATCCAGTTAAGAACAGTGCTCTCGGATCGCTCTATAAAAGGTAAGGTCCACAAAAGAAGTAGACTAAGTCTTAGACTGAGTATTCTTTGTAAGTATTTCTAAAAAATATCAAACAATTTCCCTTGTGAAAAAATAATTGTTAAAATTAAGACTAAAAATTTAAAAAGAAACCCCTTAAAAAAAAAAAATTTTTAAACAACGGTATTATTTTGAAGTGCACTCAAAAGTAAAAAAAAATTCAGCCGTCACCAGCTGATCAGAATATGTTTCGCCATTTGTAACTAAAACATAAAACCGTGGGGCGCTCCTTTAATATCACTTATCTTAATCGATGACCAACAATAGCTAAAGAAAGTTACCAACAAATGGTACTCAATAGCAAAACAAAATACTATTACATTTCTAATAATATAGCAGGACTGTCTCTATTTCCTATTACCAATCTCACGATGCTACTTAGTTGGTTGAGATGGCTTGATGTCTTAGTAGCACATTTAGAATCATCAAAACTATTCCATGCTAACATTCAAGTGTTTAGGTTTCGAAGAGTTGGAACAAAGTAAAATATTAAATGCCTTGTAGCGTTCAAACTCAAGTCTCACAATAAGGGAGTGGTATCTGATATCACTAGAAAATGGTAAGGTGTAAGGTCTTAGGCAATGTAAAATAAAAATCCTAGTAATACATTATAATACAAAGTTCACCATTCATCTGCAAATCTTGACGAGCAATCTTTACTTATCAATAGTGAAAACTTAACAAGATAAGTAATACGTATTTGAAGCAATTGAAACGCATATGTCGACTTGATTATGATAGGAAAATAAAAAAAACAATAGCTGTAATAATTACAATTACAAATACTTGACAAATACCTTCAAAATAATTAAAACCAAATCTACGCTTTCATTATATTATCGGATAAGCAAACATAGATTTGATCATCTATATATAGTAATAACCTATGCATGTCATGTATGCACTTATCTTCCCTTTGACTAATATACTCTGACCAAGAATAAAAGTTGCTATAGGAAGTTGAGAAAAAAATGTGTTTACCTATACTTTGGATCCCTTTGCAGTCAATTATTATTTTTTTTAAAAGCAGTTCAACACACACGAGTAGAAAGAGGTAGTAATACAGATTTAAGATTTATACTCAAAACACTTGTAAATGTTCTACACTTCATCGTCAAATGACATAACTATCAACATTTTCCCTTCTAAAAAATTTTGAATTTTTTTTTACATACATATCACACAAATACACTTTTATCAAACTAAAACATTCTAAAGCAACTCATGCATACAAATATTAAAGGAGTGCCCCACGGTTTTATGTTTTAGTTACAAATGTCGAAAAATATTCTGATCAGCTGGTGAAGGCTTAAAAAATATCTTTTTAACTTTAGAGTGCACTTAAAACCGTTTTTTTAAAATATTTTTAAGGATTTTATTACAATTTTCGACCCTGCTCAGTTGAGCTCAGCTGAGCTCACCTCTGGGGAGGGGGTGGAAGGGGGGTGTAGGTGTATTATACAACTCATTCATGCGCCACCATCTCAGTTCCACTGTCTCTCGCGTACTGACTGCTCATTGTAATCGGTGTGGACTTTATCGCAAAATATCGTCGCAACCATTTACTGCAACTCATCCACTCCTCAAAGTGAGAACATACAATTATGGGTTAAGGTAAAATATTTTTCACACGAAATTTTTTTTTTGAGTCGTTGCTTTAAAAGGTCACAAATACGTTTTCTATTAAAAAAGGAAAACGTTTTAAAGTATACCGTGCCTATTTGAAATGGTCATAAAAGTACCTGGTTTTCTGTATATGTTAATTACGTTTTTTGGTTGCTAGTTATGAAGCACAATATTTCCCTAAGTTGCGGTCGCTATCCCTACCTAAATCCATTGTTTGTTTGGGAGAAATTTCCCTGCTCTGCGTCGCATAAGCAATGTTCAAACTCTTCCAGTCCATAGCCCCCACCCCCATTTTGATGTATTCCTATGGGGGGGGGGGGGGGAAGTCCCCTGCTATACATCGTTTCGTTATAAGTCACAACGTCTCGGTCCCTAACCTCGAAGTATATCGAGGACCCCCTGTAATACAAATGTAGTGGGTCAGAAACCAGGGGAGACGCCAGTTGAGGCAACACAATATTTATTACTCTTTTCTACAGGATCCCTAACACAAAGGGGTAGTGGCCCCTTTACCCTGATGGCCTCTGGGCTACACTGCCCTAACACTGGGGACCCTGCTAATTCCCCGACCTCTGGCTGGGGCCCTAGGAGAGGCTATGCTGACCCGACTGTGCCCGGGTCGTCAGGTTCTGACCACTGGCCTCACTGAGCTCCGGCCCTGAGAAGGATGGCGGAGCTTGGGGTCCAGGGTCCGAGCCTCAGCCCGGGTCTTCAGAGTGGAGGAGACTGACTGTTATCGTTCAGAGGTCCGACTTATATACCGGTTCGGGGCTTGCTCCGCCCCAGCCCCGCCTTCCTTCCAGAACCTTCCACCAGTTCCTGGAAGGGTGACGTCATCCCCCAATCCCCCCACTCGGGGTTTGTGGATTGTGTCCCAGGATCCGTTATCCCGGAGATCATCGTTGGCCCCCTTTGCCCATAGCCACTTCACATAGAGGTAGCCCCTCTTCCGCCCCCTGTTGACCCAATAGTGATGCCACCCGCTGACACATGAGGAGTGCGGAATATCACCTCTCCACAAATACTGTGCACAGAGGCATATGTTGACTCAAACGCACACGAAAGGAAAAATTACGCGTGCCAAACAGACTGCTAATAAAGACGTTAATCAATAACAATATATTAACGCACACTGAGAACACATCTAAATACATACTATTGTGTACACAAAGATTAAGATTTCCCCCCGACAGCAATAACAAACTGTTGGGGCATGTACCGTTGGCAGGCGCCTTTGAAGGCCGACACGGCACACGAGGGGTTGGGGTGTCCAGCACCACGCCCGGCCGCCTTTGTCTCCCCAGTGACGATATTTGCACATCGCACCGGGTACTCATTTGAGGCTGAATCGACCTTAGGGGAGGCCCGATACCGCTTCAGATAATCGCCACCGGTGTCGGCCTTAAGCGGGAATCGAACTCGGGACACCGGGTTCGTAGCGTAGCGCTAACCGCTGCACCACCGCTTCCCTCACCACAACTCGCCGCCTCTGACGTCACCCCTCCGCATGCCGTCTTCGGCGCGAGACCCGCAGGGGGGGGAGGTGTACCCCGCTTGTGACGTCATGTCATCTCCCTCGTGCTTCCGTGTGACGTCACGAGATTCCAGGAGCTGCTTCTGTGCGCGCAACTCTCTCAGATCGGAGGTGAGAAGTTCACATCGTGATGTTGGTTGTTGTTGTTGTTTACCCAGGTACAGCCTCGCTTCTTCCCTCTCTCTCGTAGCTATAGCAATTGAGTAGCGGCAAGTATGGAATCGATGTCCAGGTTGGAACGTTACTACGTGGGGCCGAGCCATGCAGGCCTTGCCTCCTGCCCTTGCCTGACTGACTTTGCTTTCATTCTCTTAAGTTTAATTTGTCTTAAGTTTAATTTGTCTTCACCTGGCTGACTACTTCACCTCTCAGACTCTCCATACTCTAGTTCAGGATCGTCGAGTTTTTGATTTGCATTCGCGGGGGGGGGGTGGCGATGCTTCTGCGCGTATTCCCGATTGAGTAATCTGCAGGCCGCGTTTCAGCACTGGGATATTCGGACGATACCAGTCCAGACGTTTACTTTTAGTCGGAATGAGACATCAAAGCATGACACAATTACACTCGTCCATCAACACGCTCACCCACACGCTCCCACTGTTAGCGAGCATCTATGAAGGCTGGCACGGCACACGAGGCTGAATCGACATGGGGGAGGTGTAGGACCAGTTCAGATATTCAAGTTCATTTATTTGGTATAGCCCTGTGAGCCATAACGGCTCTTGAATCGGATGTAACCGCAACAAACAAAAAACATGAACAAGAAAACATCTTAAAGTGAATATGTGACTAAGTGCAAACAGAAAATCCAAGAAAAGACAGCAAAATAATGCAGAAAAAAAACCGTAAACCAACGCTGTGTGCAAAAATCCCAGTAGGATGCAAGTCAAACAACAACCACAAGACAACTTAAATTAAGGCCATCGGTCTTACTCCGTACTACAACAAACAAACATGGCCAAACCAAAAAACTTTTAGAAATCACCAAAATAAAGCCATGAAAGCAATGAAACGGAATTTTCACAGTAAACGTCACTGGTGTTGGCTGTGAGCAGAATTCTCACCCGGATCGTCGGGTTCGTAGCACAGCGCGCTAACCACTAAATTGTCACTCATTCATCCACCTGAACCACTCTCCCACGCACACACTCGCTCACCCACACAAAGATCTCCCTATAGCCTTAACAGACTGTAGGGGCAAGTGCTGTTTGCGAGCACCTATGAAGGGCGGAACGGTACAGGAGGGGTTGGGTGGCCAGCACCACGCCCGACCGCCTTTGTCTCCCCAGTGGCGATGTTTATACACCGCATAAGGTACTCATTTGAGGCAGAGTCGACATAGGGGAGGCCCGGGACCGGTTCAGATAATCGTTACTGGTGTTGGCCGTGAGAGAGAATCGAACCCGGGGTTGCCGAGTTTATTGCGCAGCGCGCTAACCCCTGCACTACTGCCCACACACTCGCCCATCCACACACACCCACTCTCGCCCACCTACTCAGTCACACGCCCCCCTCCCAGTCACTCACCCTCCCATTCACTCTCCCTCCCACTCACCCTCCCACTCACTCACGCACACACTCAACTACCCACACACTCATCTACCCACACACTCAGTCTACCACTTACCGTCCCACTCGCCCACACTCACTTGCCCACACACACTCGTTCACCCACTCGCCCACTCTGCCACTCATCCACTCACAATCAGAAGTTTATTACCGAGTAAAGTCCATTGAGCTAAGAAGCTCTTTTTCAAGGGCGACTCGGCCGGCAGACATTAAAGCATTCCTTAAATACATATTTACAAAAACAAACTTATATATAGCAATTATGTTATCCATAAGAGGTGTTTAGGTGAGATTGCGGACATATGAATGTATCGTTAAACCCGCCACCATCCAACACATGTTTTACATAAACAAAACATAACGTTCCAACCTGGACAGATTCCGTGCTTGCCGCTACTCAATTGATATCGCTACGAGATGGAAGAAGCGAGGCTGTACCTGGGTAAACAACAACCAACATCACAATGTGAACTTCTAACCTCCTAGCGTACTCAGAATATTAATGATGGGGGGTGCGGCATGTTGAGTGACGTCACGCGCGTTACACAGACATTATTTGCTCATATTAGTAATGAGGGCTTCACTGGGGTATCGGTAATAGCGCTAATAATACCGATGCTAAACAGTTTAATGATTTATAATAGCATCAGTATTATGTACTATACTTATGAGTGCATTCTACTTTACTCATCCTACAAGGTAGCGGAGGGAGACGAGCTTGAAGGAGCTGCTGCTCTTCCAGTCCAGGTCATTCTCAGAGAAAGGCTTTAGGACCTCCATGATCTTAGTGAAGACCTAAATCTAAATTTGTGTGGCGAGGTTTTTTTAGGCGGAGCCTGAGACTGTCCTAGTCGTGTGAGTTCTCAACTGGCTAAACAAGTCAGTGTTTTTAAAATATAATCGTGACCATGAATCGTGATAATTGAATCGCGGGCAGTGGGGTCTGGATGGCTTAGATTGTGTGTTGCTCTCATTGGCTGAGCGAATGATGGAGCCAGGTACGTTTCCTTAGCTAGCGCTGCTGCCTGTTCTCACTCGTGAGCACTTTGTAAACTTAAAAAAACAATTTCGATTTAAAGCTTTCGTGACTGCAGGGATTCATCTTTTTGGTTTTTTCGGTAAATTCACGTAGAAGGGAAATAATAAAATAATAAAAATTATAAATAATGAAATACAATTCTCACGACGTTTCGGCCACAACACAAGCAGCCGTCCTCGGGTGAAGAACAGGGCTGTCGGAAAGACAGCGTCCGAATGCTGTCTTTCCGACAGCCCTGTTCTTCACCTGAGGACGGCTGCTTGCGTTGTGGCCGAAACGTCGTGAGAATTGTATTTTATTATGTTTCATTTTTATTATTTTATTATTTCCCTTCTACGTGACTTTACCGAAAGAAGCAAGAAGGTTAAAAAAAACAAGTATGGACAAAAATCTCTAGGACAAACAGCGCTGTAACAAACACGCATCATTCTACGGGGTCGTACTAAGCGAGGTCTGCCTGTATTTGTGTGTAATAAGTATGTATCTGCAGAATCAATCACATGGAGAAGACAGGCTTGGCAACGGCTGGAAGTAAAAGGCACCAATGCATCCAGTGTCCATACAGCACAGATCAGATGGATAACTTGAAGGAACATCAGAGAAAACACACTGGCGAGAAGCCCTTCAAGTGCTCTGTGTGTGGAAAGGCATTCATACGGTCAGTATATGTCCATATTCACTAGAAAACACACGGGTGAGAAGACCTTGAAAAAAAATACTTCGCAATAAAATGATGTCATGCTGTAATGCAATGATATGATACACACGTCATGTGACTTCCTTAACACCCTGCTTACACGTGAATACTCTAATTTCCAGGCCGCTGTTGGTTAATTATTATACAAATAATGAACCTTGTATACCTGAAATTATGGTTGGTAAGTCTGCATTTGGTGAAGGATTGCTGTATATACCTCCTTTTAAGGTCACATTGTTTATAAATACGTTGAGTTATATGTTAACTGTATACGTACCAATACCAAATGCAATCTCACCAAATAATCCATTGTGGCTGCTAGTGGCCGCACATCCCTTTAAAGAAAAATCACCTGGATTCACATCCAATAAGCACTGTCACCACGTCCTACCGTAAATTTGGGATCCCTGTTGTAGCTGAATGTCTGAAGCGCAGTCGTAGTGGTAGGCCTAGCGGCAGAGACGTAGCCTGGGCCTCCCCTAGGTCGACTCAGCTTAAAATAAGTACCTGGTGTGATGCGTAAGCATCACGGCTAGGGAGACAAAGGCACCCGTTTGTGATGCTGGCCACCCTTCCCCTCATTGCCTGTGTCAGCCTTCATAGGTGCTCGCTAACAGCACTTGTCCCAACAGTCTTTTATGGCTATACAGGGGATCCTTGTCTTGTAATGTGTATGTATATTTACAGAATTAATCGCATGGAGAAGAGACCCTCAACACAGCCTGGTGATACAACGCATCGATGTGACCAGTGTGTATACAGCACGGATCGCAGTAGACGTTTGAAGCAGCAACAGAGCAAACGCAGGGCCGAGAAGCCCTTCAAGTGCACTGTGTGTGGGAAGGCATTTTCTCGTTCAGAAACTCTTCATATTCATCAGAGAACACACACCGGTGAAAAGCCCTTCAAGTGCACTGTGTGTGGGAAGGCATTTTCTCGTTCAGAAACTCTTCATATTCATCAGAGAACACACACCGGTGAAAAGCCCTTCAAGTGCACTGTGTGTGGGAAGGCATTTGCTCAACCAATAACTCTTCATATTCATCAGAGAACACACACCGGTGAGAAGCCCTTCAAATGCACTGTGTGTGGGAAGTCATTTGCTCATTTAAAAACTTTTCAAATTCATCAGAGAACACACACAGGCGAGAAGCCCTTCAAGTGCAGTGTATGTGATAAGGCATTTGCACAGTCAGAATATCTGAAGACACATAATAGAATACACACGGGTGAGAAGCCCTTCCAGTGCACTGTGTGTGGGAAGGCATTTGCTCGTTCAAAAACTCTTCGTAATCATGAAGGAACACACATGGTTGAGAAGCCCTTCAAGTGCACTGCGTGTGGGAAGGCATTTGCTCTTTCAAAATATCTTCAGAAACATAAGAAAACACATTCAGGTGAGAATCCTTTCAAGTGCACTGTCTGTGGGAAGGAGTTTACATTATCAGGAAAGCTAAAGAGGCATGAGAAGATCCACAAGAAGGAGAAATTGAAATCGACTTGTGAAAGTCAAAATGCTGCAATGAGCCCATCTCTCATGAAACGAGAATCAGAAGAAAATTCCAACTTGGCAACACGGCCAGGAGTGACAGTGAAATGTGAAGAAGTGACGGTGAAATGTGAAGATCAAGATTCGACTCCAGGACCCAATCTGCAAGTGGATGGAGGCAGCGTGAAGCAGGAGGAGAATTCCGATTCTGAGGGAGAGCGAGGCAATCCCCAGCAGTTTGTGGATGTGGAGGTGTGGGTGGAGTTTTTGGACAAAGCTGAGTAGGAGGGGCCAGCACGTGTGAAATGACACCTTGGAAGATGTGTAACCTGGAGTTTGAGACGATTTTCCATAGCATTCGCCTTATTCACAGGCTTCTGTCATTTCAAGAATATGTAATGCGAGCAAGGACAGGGTCACGTGAGTGTTGGCGGAGTCAGGGTCACGTGAGGGGGAGGATATAAGGGGAGAACCGGAAGGGGATCGGGAGTGGAGACAGGATAGAGAAGGGAGAGGCCACGCGGAGTCCTGGCGAGGAGTGGCGCGATTGCCACGAGGCAGGAGTCACGGCACCGTCGGCCAGCGGTGTTCGTGGAGCAGCGGGGGTGTCTGCAGAGTGTGCGGGAGCACACGGAGCAGCAGGGTGGCTGCTGGGTGTGCGGAGTCACACCGAGCAGCAAGGGGGCTGCGGAGTGTGCGGAGCACACGAGCAGCGGTGTGGCTGCAGAGAAAGAGCGGGAGCGTAGGACTCAGACGACGTGCGGAGGCACGAGGCGGAGAAGGTGCGGGTCGGAGCGGAGACATCGCGGGGTGCGAGCAAGAACCCAATAAAGGACACGGAGAATAACATCGTCTGAGAGTCCTTTATTACAAATACATAGGGGTTTAGCTGTCATCCAAGCAGCGATGGGCTTTCTGTACAGATGAAGTTATTGAGTGTCGAAGTGAAATAGTCGATATGCAAAACATTATGCTGCCTTATAAAACACGAATTAGGAATGTATTTTGATGGTTACATATTAAATTAATAAGTATGAATTGTAACTGTTAAAGTGGCTGTCAGGTGTTGCCGTGCTTTTCTGCATGTTCCCAATCTGTTTTTATTGCCTTTTAAATTCCCTTTAATAAAATAAAAGGGGGAACCATTTTTGTAATATTGCTGTGGTTTTCACACCTGATGATGATTGCTTGTGTTGCAATCGAAACGTCGTGATCATTTTATTGTTTTATTTTTATTATTTCCCTTCTGCGTGACTTCACCGAAAGAACCAAGAATATGAATCCCTGCAGTCACGAAAGCTTTAAATCGCCATTTTTGTCATGTTTACTTTTTGCTTCATACACTAAATATATGTTGATATCAAAATAATTTAATGTCAGGCCTACTTTCTGCACTTGTTTTGCTTTTAATCCCTTTGGGTTTCATTTAATTGGTCTTAGCCTGATGTTACTTTTTTCATTTTATATAATGGTAACAGCAGGGGTCTGCAAGTCTACTGTACATCCCACCTGATGGCTATGTACGCACCTTGCATAGTGTAGTTATTGTGGTTAACAGTGCAGTGTAGTGTCAAGTGTGCAGTGAATAGAACGTAGTAAATGTTGTGATGTGTGGTGAAATGTGTGTATGTATGGTGATATTTAGTATGTGTACAGTGCATAGTGTAAAAAGACGGCTTTGGCTTTTCACGTGACGAATCGCACGCAATGTATCATTGCACTCAGTCGCGAGTTGCAGTCCAAAGGTGCCGAATGAGAGTAAAGTTCTGCATCTTGACGCTGCATGCCACTTGCAGTGAGGCGTATTGTGTGCCATGCAGTTGCTGTAGCTGGTGTGAGCTTACCTGTGATGAATCGCACGTGTAATTGTACACTCTGCAATGTTGCTGTAATTGCTACGTAGAGCCAGGTGCTGGTGTTTTTTATACGTGTAGGTAATGTTCAGAGCATGCCACGCACAACAGTGTGTAGTGTTGTAAATATGACGAATACACTTCTTTGAGGCACACGTTGCATACGTTGTTGTCTTACTACAGGGTTCCTAGCAGGAAGGGTATATCGGTCCCTTCACCCGATACCTAGGCGCTATGGCCTCCGAACTATACGGAACCTACAGTGAGGAAAAAATGATTTGATCCCCTGCTGATTTTGTACATTTGCCCACTGACAAAGAAATGATCAGTCTATAATTTTAATGGTAGGTTTATTTGAACTGTGAGAGACAGAATAACGACAAAAATATCCAGAAAAACGCATGTAAATTTTTTTATAAATTGATTGGCATTTTAATGAGGGAAATAAGTATTTGACCCCTCTGCAAAACAGTACTTGGTGGCAAAGCCCTTGTTGGCCATCACAGAGGTCAGACGTTTCTTGTAGTTGGCCACCAGGTTTGCACACATCTCAGGAGGGATTTTGTCCCACTCCTCTTTGCAGATCTTCTCCAAGTCATTAAGGTTTCGAGGCTGACGTTTGGCAACTCGAACTTTTAGCTCCCTCTACAGATTTTCTATGGGATTAAGGTCTGGAGACTGGCTAGGCCACTGCAGGACCTTAATGTGCTTCTTCTTGAGCCACTCCTTTGTTGCCTTGGCTGTGTTTTGGGTCATTGTCATGCTGGAATACCCATCCACGACCCATTTTCAATGCCCTGGCTGAGGGGGAAGGAGGTTCTCACCCAATATTTGACGGTACATGGCCCCGTCCATCGTCCCTTTGATGCGGTGAAGTTGTCCTGTCCCCTTAGCAGAAAAACACCCCCAAAGCATAATGTTTCCACCTCCATGTTTGACGGTGGGGATGGTGTTTTTGGGGTCATAGGCAGCATTCCTCCTCCAAACACGGCGAGTTGAGTTGATGCCAAAGAGCTCCATTTTGGTCTCATCTGACCACAACACTTTCACCCAGTTGTCCTCTGAATCATTCAGATGTTCATTGGCAAACTTCAGACGGGCATGTATATGTGCTTTCTTGAGCAGGGGGACCTTGCGGGCGCTGCAGGATTTCAGTCCTTCATGGCGTAGTGTGTTACCAACTATTTTTTTGGTGACTATGGTCCCAGCTGCCTTGAGATCATTGACAAGATCATCCCGTGTAGTTCTGGGCTGATTCCTCACCGTTCTCATGATCATTGCAACTCCACGAGGTGAGATCTTGCATGGAGCCCCAGGCTGAGGGAGATTGACAGTTCTTTTGTGTTTCTTCCATTTGCGAATAATGGCACCAACTATTGTCACCTCACCAAGCTGCTTGTCGATTGTCTTGTAGCCCATTCCAGCCTTGTGCAGGTATAAAATCTTGTCCCTGACATCCTTGGAGAGCTCTTTGGTCTTGGCCATGGTGGAGAGTTTGGAATCTGATTGATTGATTGCTTCTTTGAACAGGTGTCTTTTATACAAGTAACAAGCTGAGATTAGGAGCACTCCCTTTAAGAGTGTGCTCCTAATCTCAGCTCGTTACCTGTATAAAAGACACCTGGGAGCCAGAATCTTTCTGATTGAGAGGCGGTCAAATACTTATTTCCCTCATTAAAAGGCAAATCAATTTATAACATTTTTGATATGCGTTTTTCTGGATTTTTTTGTTGTTATTCTGTCTCTCACTGTTCAAATAAACCTACCATTAAATGTATAGACTGATCATTTCTTTGTCAGATGGGCGAACGTACAAAATCAGCAGGGAATCAACTACTTTTTTCCCTCACTAACTCTGGTCACCCGTTCCCTATCGTCCTCCAGCTGGGACCTAGGGGAGGCTTAACTGACCCCGACCTCTTGGTCCGTGGGTCCTGACCACTGGCCTCACTGAGCTCCTGCCCTTAGAAGGACTGTAGAGCTTGGGGTCCAGGGTCCTATTCTCCAGCCCAGTCTTATGTCTTTGGTGTGTAGATAACTGAGCTCTGGCTTATATACCCGTTCGTTGCTGGCTCCGCCCTGGCCACACCTTCCTTCAGGAACACTCTAAGGTGACATCATTCCCCCGGTTCCCCCCCCCCCCACCCGGGGGCCCGGGGAATGTGTCCCAGGATTCGTTTACTGGGATCCACCGTTGGCCTCTCTGGCCCATGGCATGTGCCGTAAGCGATGTAACGCCTTTGCACTCTGTTGACGGTAAGTGGAACTACAGGCTGTTGAATGGTGAGTGACAATCACCCCTACAAGTGTGTAGACTATTCAAAGTACAGGGAACACCCTCATTTCAAATTTGAGGTGCACTGGTGAGATATTACATTATTCAAATAGAAAATCAAATATAACTTAAATTAATATTATTTCAATGTTAATCGAAAGCCATGGACTAGGTAATGCTTGACTGTTGAATGAGTTATTGGAGGTGAATATATTCACAATTAAGACGTTGATATTATTAAAGTATTTTTGTTATATTTCAACATAAAAATTGGTTATAATTTGGTCTAGCAAATAAACACTGGTGCTAAATCCCATTCAAGAGGTACTGTGTGAAGTGTAGGGTGATATGTTTTTCTGGTAATGATTACAGGTATGATACATTCGCTTATTTCCAGTTAAATTGTTTGCCGTTTTTTCGCGGGAAGTTTAATACTAGATTTTTGCCGACCTAAGGCCGCCTTACTCTAGCAACTACGAAGGGCTTCTCGGTGCTTGGCATCTCGCCCATTGCTCTAACTGATGTCCTCTTCTTCTGCCCCGCCCTCCCCCCCCCAATCTGTGCAGATACTGCCGAGTTTAACATGTAGCCTTTCGCAACCAATATCCATAATACAGGTTTTTTTTGGGTTAAACCAGCCACCATCCCATGCAGCCAATTAGTAAGGTTTGTCACGTAAACAGAACATGCCAATTTGTTACTCGTACAGCAAAGTGTTGGAGAGCCAAGCCAGATCATTTACTATCTGAGTACGATGTTTTGCCAGTAATTACAACTAGCTTCATCAGGCAACAGCCACATTTGTGCATGTAAAATGCACAATTGTCAGCATACGGAGTTAGCCTGACATTGAGTTAATGGGGCGAGCAGAATAGGTGTTTTGGCAGTGGTTCTAGTCTCAATTAAAAAGGCTTTAGTGGTTGTCAGTTAAATATACCAAATTTACATGTTACTATAATTTAACGTGTTATTGCTTTATTATTCAGAATATAAGTACGTATCCATTCGTTAATGCAATATTATCTTGGAATGTAGCACATTTAGGAGGCACTACAGATATTTTAGGCATATGTTTGTGGAATATTTACATTTGTATTGTTAAATAAGATGTTAAATGTTCTTAGATTTGAAAAGCGGCAGTTATATTTTATATTTGCGGTAGATTCCGTGCTGAGGAGCTGCTCTGAGGTGTTGTGTGACGTGGAAGGTGATAGGGATATGTTTAGTCATGATTGCAGATATGCAAATGCTCCTTGGAAGAACAATTTGAAATAAAGCATTTCCGTTTCACAAACCTCTGGTGCCCATCTGTAGTGAAGTCGTCCACTTCTCAGGAGGACAGAAAACAATGCAGAGTATTTGCTCAACCTCTCTGAGCTTTATTGTTCTTGTTTATTTGGCCGACCTATCCCCTCATTACGATTCACGGGAGGAGGATAGGTGGGCCGGCTACACATGGGATTTCTCCAGTTTATGTACCATGCTAGTGCACTTTTAAGGCCACGTGAAATGTCAAAGGCCCTCTGGAAGATCACGGAACAGACCCAGGTGTCATGGATTGACTGAGATGACTGGCAGACTCACCACCTGTGCTCCCCACTTTGCCACATAGCTGCGTTTTATCTGCCCTGCTCTCCGCTTGTTATTGTGAGCGTTGCTTCCCTGCCATTTGTTGCTGGGGGGCAACTGCCTCTTAAGTGTCAAGGAGCGTCCTTCATGAACCTCCTCCATAGGAGCCCATCTTGACACCTTGAACCAGTCATCGGCAAGTCCACTCGGCTCCAGTGGTGACTTGGTCATGAACTAAATCACCAGAGGCAAGACTCCAGACACTGAAGTATACGTGGTGAAGGGGTGTAAACCGCTATTTGCTTGAGTTGCGATGCCTTAACCAGGTTCATACACCAGAAGCCCAGATGATGAGAAACAGCGTCTGGATGGACTGGGCACAAACCACAGTGGGCACGTGATGGGACGAGATGGGCAGGTAGCAGTGGCCAGTTGGACAGGCAGTAAAAGTAATACTGCCGCATCATTTGGACGAGGAAATACGCGGAGCTTCAGCTAGGGCAAGCTGGGTGCGGGCTAGTCATGAGCCAGAACATACAGGTGGTAATCCTCTTCTTGGTTCTTTCGATAAAGTCACGTAGAAGGGAAGTAATAAAATAATACAAAATAAAACAATTCTCACGACGTTTCGGCTACAACGCAAGCAGCCGTCTTCACCTGAAGACGGCTGCTTGCGTTGTAGCCGAAACGTCGTGAGAATTGTTTTATTATGTTTTATCCCTGCAGTCACGAAAGCTTTAAATCGAAATTTAGGTGGTAATCCTGTCATGCTAATTAGGTGATGAGATGAGCTTAACTTAGACAAGCTGGTTGTAGAGCACAGCAAACTTATCACAAGCCAAGATGGGCAGGTGTGGTGGTTAATACTGAAGCACCAATCGAGAGATGACATTAACTGGGTTTGAGTTAAGGTGCAGCTCAGGCAGATCCAGGGAGCATCATCCCTTGGTGGTGGGGATATTTTTCGAGTTCATCCAGCAGCTCATTATTTTCTTGATCCAAATCCTTATGCAAATCACTGCAATACTATGTCCATCTCTTTTTCGCCGTTTACCTTGGTTGCCACTTCCTATTTGGGCTCTGGACTTGTTTGTGCACTTCCCTGGTCTTGTGTTCTCCATACTTTACATTGCACTTCATGTAATGTGTATTTGTACAACCAGCAGGTGTAAAATGAATAAAATAATGTCCAGTTAAGATCAATAATATCAGACGCAAAGATATTAAAACAAGTTCAGCAGGCAGGCCCGACAATCAGCACCCAATGGCAGCTACCAAAATCCAGACAACAAATCGAGAGTGAAAAAAGAACACGCCCCAGAAAGAGCATCCAAGGAATCATCCATCCTCGGGAGCGGGTGCGCAGAGGCAACTGACACTTTAAGCTTGGTACACTAAACTTCCATCCTGTTTCTTCACAAGCACTATGGGGGTACCCCACCGACTATTCGATGGGGAGATAATGTCCGCTGCCAACATCTTGTCGACCGCGACCCGCACATGATCTTCCTCCTTGGGGCTTAACCTGTAGGGGTTTTGGCGAATGGGGGCAGCGCTCCCCGTATCAATATGAAGCTGCAAGAGGGATGTGCGACTGATGTCATACTTCCCTTTGCTAAAAATGTCCGAAAATTCTAAGAAGCGCACGGAGCCTGCCTCGCTGGTCATTCGATAACTCGGGGCTCTCGGAACAAAGCGCGTCGAGCCATGAGTCATCACGCCCTCCTCTCTGTACAACGGCCGCTGCCACTCGCGCCGCATTCACCTCCCCAACACCACAACTCATGGGTGATGCATGCGCAAGAACCGTGCTCGCCTGGATAATGGAAGTTTCTATGCCAGCGTTTAGAACCTGAATGAAAGGCTCTTGGTCCCTCACGACCAAGGTCTGCACTCCCACCAAAGTCAACCGACGGTACAGCTTATTAGAGGAGACTAATAACATTCCGTCAGTGGTCGCCTCCCGCCCCAGCTGCTTACGCAGTTGCAGGGGGACTAACATTTGGGCCCCGGGGGGAATTTTAACAGTTCTCGTCACTAGGGCTTGGACGGTGGCATAACCCGAGACAAACTGCGTAGGGGAGGACAGAAACGCCATCCACCGGCTTGATGGTACCTCAATATAGCTCTGATCAATGAGTATTTTCAAAGGATTCTTACCCAAGAAATCCGTGCCCAGAAGGCACGGTACAGCAAGAGGTCTAGAGATGAATATGGGCCCTGTCAAGCGGATGTCACCAATACATACGTCCGCCAAAACCTGACCGATAATGCCCAGAGACCCCCCGTTTGCCGCAAAACACGGTACCGCAACGGGACGCAGAAAACATGAAGAGGGTGGGAGGATATTAAAAATCAATTCCGAAATCATGGTTGCAGATGCACCCGTATCAATAAATATCCGCACCTCCACACCTTGAACCATGCCAACAACCAACGAAGCCTCTGCTGCGGCGATCATACGGTGACCCAGTGCTTACCACTGGATATTCCCCCGCGGCCACCCGTCGTTCCCTACAACATGGTTTACACTGTCCGCGACCCATAAAATGGGTGAAATAGATGTAAGTGCCGGGTGTGTGGTGCGCCGCGACCCGCCTGTGGACCTTGAGGTCCCGCGGAAGCCCCGACAACCGCTCGAGGACCAAGGAATCCAAGCCGTCCTCATCCATTCTCAAGTAGGCAGCTTGCGCCAGGGCACGCTGCGGAAGGTGAGGGGGCATCTCGGCCTCCCCCCGCCGTCGTGCAGAAAACTTATGCCGTATGTTAGATGGAGGGTCGAAAATACCCGCCATCTGCGCAAGTGCCTGCTGGAGCATCTCACGATCTTTCGGCGGGATGGCGTAGAAAGCACCCAAAGCGTCTTCGTCGAGGGTAGTCGGCAATGCTCATAACGCCTCGGCATCTGGCCACCCTGCTAGCTCGCAGGTAGCCGTAAAACAGCGACAGAATGCCGCCCAATCCCCCCCTGACACAGGGGAATTCCTTGATGCAGGTAAGGGTCTAATTCAAAACTGGCACCTTCGCGTGTAGTTGTGGCGAGATTCGTTGGATGAACCCCGTCGTCTCGCGCTGTCGTCACTGTGGCATCCACATGTGCTGGCTGCGGACTCGCCACCTCCAGCAGGTCCGGTGAAATGGCGGCTGCACGCCTAGACGGCGACCCCGCTTTCACCCCCGCATCTCTACAATGGCGGCTGCGAGCGTGGGATACGCGTCATCTTGGTCGTCTCCCCGCAGCGCTGGCCCGCCGGCCCTTTCCAGCAGCTGTTCCAGCCCCATTTCGGCTGCCAACACGGCAGCGGCAGTCAACAAGTCAACGAGGCGGGCGCCCCGCGATCGGCGCAGCTTGTTGGGCGACGGCGGCGCAGCGAGGTTGGGCTCCTCCCGTAGTTCCAACAACTGGGCTTCAGCGAACGTTTCCTCCAGGATTATTTCACCCGGGGCTGTTTGTGGAATCAACCCATCTTCTTCGTCTTCTGTGACATCTTGGTAAGCTGTCATCGCCTTGTAAACACATTTATACCCAAGGATAGCATCTAGTAAGATTCTCACATTCCGACACCAGTTGTAGTGGTTTCTAATCAGGCGCAGACCAAGACTGGGAGGCAACACGTTTATTCTCTAACACAACCAACACTACTCAACGTTCCAAAGTAAACTATGACCATTCCGAGCGACTATTTACATTACAGGTTAACTACGTAATGTGGTGGTCACCGTTCCAAACCACTTGAAAGGATTCCCTATACGGGTGAACTAGAACTTCCGACATGCCGTCGTGTCATCGCATACTAAAGAGCGAAGCTCGGGGAAGACAACTTCTTCCCGGGTTGAACAGCCACGCTCCCTCTCGGGGCTCAGCTTACATTTCCTGCGGCGTGACCTGGCTCTGCCTCTAGTTACGCCCCATTCTCGATCCTTCGTGAAGAATCTGGATCCACATCACATGGCCCGCTAACCCCCTTCTGGGGGCCCCCGTGATCCCTCATCCGGTCACGTGCATTCGTGGGTTCACCCAGACTGTCATATCCTGAGCCGACCTCCGTGACATACGAAATCTGCCCTCTAATAAGCCCTTGTGTATAGTACACGCACTGTCGCCATAGAACGGCCCATTTATGTTGTTACACACATATAAAAAAAAACACCAGCACCTGGCTCTAAGTAGCAAGTACAGCAACATTGCAAAGTGCACAATTACACGTGCGATTCACAGGTAAGCTCACACCAGCTACAGCAACTGCGTGGCACACAACACGCCTCACTGCAAGTGGCATGCAGCGTCAAGATGCAGAACTTTACTCTCATTTGACACTTTTAGACTGCAACTCGCGACGGAGTGCAATGATACATTGCGTTCGATTCGTCACGTGAAAAGCCTAAGCCGGCTTCTTACACTATGCACTGTATACAATATACTACACCATACATACACACATTTCACCACACATCACATTTACCACGAACTATTCACTATGCACTACACACGTGACACTACACTGTACTATAAACCACTACACTCTGCAAGGTGGGATGTATAGTACACTTGCAGACCTCTGCTGTTACCATAAAAAAGTAACATCAGGCAAAGCCCAATTAAATGAAACCTAAACGGATTAAAAGCAAAACAAGTGCAGAAAGTAGGCCTGACATTAAATTATTTTGATATTATGAACAAATATATTTAGGGTATTAAGCCAAATGTAAATAATACTAATATGCTTACCTTTTTTTTTATAAAAGGGCATTTAAAAAACAATCATAAAAACAGATTGGGAGCATGCAGAAAAGCACGGCCACACCTGACAGCAACTTTGATAGTAATGCCCAACAGTTATAATTCATACTTATTAATTTAATACGTAACCATCAAAATACATTCCTAATTCATGTTTTATAAGGCAGCATAATGCTTTGCATATCGACTATTTCACTTCGACACTCAATAACTTCATATGTACAGAAAGCCCATCTCTGCCTGGATGACACCCAAACCCCTATGCATTCTTGAAATGACAGAAGCCTGTGAATAAAGTGAATGCTATGGAAAATCGTCTCAAACTCCAGGTTACACATCTTCCAAGGTGCCATTTCACACATTCTGGCCCCTCCTACTCAGCTTTGTCCAAAAACTCTACCCACACCTCCACATCCACAAACTGCTGGGGATTTCCTCGCTCTCCCTCAGAATCGGAATGCTCCTCCTGCTTCACGCTGCCTCCATCCACTTGCAGATTGGGTCCTGGAGTCTTATCTTGATCTTCACATTTCACCGTCACTTCTTCACATTTAACTTCTTCAAATTTCACTGTTGCCAAGTTGGAATTTTCTTCTGATTCTCGTTTCATGAGAGATGGGCTCATTGCAGCATGTTGACTTTCACAAGTCGATTTCACTTTCTCCTTGTGGATCTTCTCATGCCTCTTTAGGTTTCCTGATAATGTAAACTCCTTCCCATACACAGTGCACTTGAAAGGATTCTCACTGGTGTGTGTTCTCTGATGAATATGAAGAGTTAATGGTTGAGCAAATGCCTTCCCACACACAGTGCACTTGAAGGGCTTCTTGCCCGTGTGTGTTCTATTATGTTTCTTAAGATATGCTGACTCTGCAAATGCCTTACCACATACACTGCACTTGAAGGGCTTCTCACCGGTGTGTGTTCTCTGATGAATACGAAGATTTTCTGAACGAGCAAATGTCTTGCCACACACAGTGCACTTGAAGGGCTTCTCGCCCGTGTGTGTTCTATTATGTTTCTTAAGATATACTGACTCTGCAAATGCCTTACCACATACACTGCACTTGAAGGGCTTCTCACCGGTGTGTGTTCTCTGATGAATACGAAGATTTTCTGAACGAGCAAATGACTTCCCACACACAGTGCACTTGAAGGGCTTCTCACCGGTGTGTGTTCTCTGATGAATATGAAGAGTTAATGGTTGAGCAAATGCCTTCCCACACACAGTGCACTTGAAGGGCTTCTTGCCCGTGTGTGTTCTATTATGTTTCTTAAGATATGCTGACTCTGCAAATGCCTTACCACATACACTGCACTTGAAGGGCGTCTCACCAGTGTGTGTTCTCTGATGACTATGAAGAGTTTCTGAACGAGCAAATGCCTTCCCACACACAGTGCACTTGAAGGGCTTCTTGCCCGTGTGTGTTCTATTATGTTTCTTAAGATATGCTGACTCTGCAAATGCCTTACCACATACACTGCACTTGAAGGGCGTCTCACCAGTGTGCGTTCTCTGATGACTATGAAGAGTTTCTGAATGTGCAAATGCCTTCCCACACACAGTGCACTTGAAGGGCTTCTCACCGGTGTGTGTTCTCTGATGAATATGAAGAGTTTCTGAACGAGCAAATGCCTTCGCACACACAGTGCACTTGAAGGGCTTCTCACCGGTGTGTGTTCTCTGATGAATATGAAGAGTTACTGAACGAGCAAATGCCTTCCCACACACAGTGCACTTGAAGGGCTTCTCACCGGTGTGTGTTATCTGATGAATACGAAGATTTTCTGAACGAGCAAATGTCTTGCCACACACGGTGCACTTGAAGGGCTTCTCGCCCGTGTGTGTTCTATTATGTTTCTTAAGATATACTGACTCTGCAAATGCCTTACCACATACACTGCACTTGAAGGACCTCTCGCCTGTGTGTGTTCTCTGATGAATTTGAAGAGTGTTTGAATGAGCAAATGACTTCCCACACACAGTGCATTTGAAGGGCTTCTCACCGGTGTGTGTTCTCTGATGAATATGAAGAGTTAATGGTTGAGCAAATGCCTTCCCACACACAATGCACTTGAAGGGCTTTTCACCGGTGTGTGTTCTCTGATGAATATGAAGAGCTTCTGAACGAGCAAATGTCTTGCCACACACAGTGCACTTGAAGGGCTTCTCGCCAGTGTGTGTTCTAGTATGTTTCTTAAGATATGCTGACTCTGCAAATGCCTTACCACATACACTGCACTTGAAGGGCTTCTCGCCCGTGTGTGTTCTCTGATGAATTTGAAGAGTTTTTAAGTGAGCAAATGACTTCCCACATACAGTGCACTTGAAGGGCTTCTCGCCCGTGTGTGTTCTATTATGTTTCTCAAGAAAAACTGACTCTGCAAATGCCTTACCACATACACTGCACTTGAAGGACTTCTCGCCTGTGTGTTTTCTCTGATGTCTCTTCAAGTTACCCATCTGATCGGTGCTGTATGGACACTGGATGCATTGGTGCCTTTTCCTTCCAGCTTTTGCCAAGCCTCTCTTCTCCATGTGATTGATTCTGCAAATACATACATATTACACAATTTTCAGGCAGACCTCGCTTAGTGCGACCCTTAGAGTGCCGATTTGTTCCAGTGCTCTTTGTCCTGGATATTTCATTTCGTAATTCTTTTTTAAGTTTACAAAGTGTTTACGAGTGAGAACACGCAGCAGCGCTTAGCCAAGCAAACGTACCCGGCCCAATCTTCACTCAGCCAATGAGAGCGACGCATGCTCTAAGCCAACCAGTCCCCACCCCCGCGATTTAATGATCACAATTCGTGGTCATGATTGTTTAAAAAATATGACTCGTTTAGCCAGTTGAGAACTCAAACGACCAGAATAGTGATAATTGGTTCTTTACCCTTCTATCTGGCAACAAAACTGACACCTTTTTGCAAGGAGTCATGTTTGCATAGACCGCAATACCTGCAGTCATAAATACAAACAAAAGACATAACTCTGATAATGTGCACTGTCCTTGAAGTTGATTGGTCCACACCCGAGACAGCTTTCCTTCGAGCCTAGTCTCATATGGGTTGGACCAGATGACGCCAAAAGGCGCACAAATCAAGGACAATGCACCATCAGAGTATGAGAGCTCGGGGAAAGCATCTACACTATGGGGACCTCATTTGCCAGTAAAAATATGATAATTGGTTCTTTACCCTTCTATCTGGCAACAAAACTGACACCTTTTTGCAAGGAGTCATGTTTGCATAGACCGCAATACCTGCAGTCATAAATACAAACAAAAGACATAACTCTGATAATGTGCACTGTCCTTGAAGTTGATTGGTCCACACCCGAGACAGCTTTCCTTCGAGCCTAGTCTCATATGGGTTGGACCAGATGACGCCAAAAGGCGCACAACTCAAGGACAATGCACCATCAGAGTATGAGAGCTCGGGGCAAGCATCTACACTATGGGGACCTCATTTGCCAGTAAAAATATGATAATTGGTTCTTTACCCTTCTATCTGGCAACAAAACTGACACCTTTTTGCAAGGAGTCATGTTTGCATAGACCGCAATACCTGCAGTCATAAATACAAACAAAAGACATAACTCTGATAATGTGCACTGTCCTTGAAGTTGATTGGTCCACACCCGAGACAGCTTTCCTTCGAGCCTAGTCTCATATGGGTTGGACCAGATGACGCCAAAAGGCGCACAACTCAAGGACAATGCACCATCAGAGTATGAGAGCTCGGGGCAAGCATCTACACTATGGGGACCTCATTTGCCAGTAAAAATATGATAATTGGTTCTTTACCCTTCTATCTGGCAACAAAACTGACACCTTTTTGCAAGGAGTCATGTTTGCATAGACCGCAATACCTGCAGTCATAAATACAAACAAAAGACATAACTCTGATAATGTGCACTGTCCTTGAAGTTGATTGGCCCACACCCGAGACAGCTTTCCTTCGAGCCTAGTCTCATATGGGTTGGACCAGATGACGCCAAAAGGCGCACAACTCAAGGACAATGCACCATCAGAGTATGAGAGCTCGGGGCAAGCATCTACACTATGGGGACCTCATTTGCCAGTAAAAATATGATAATTGGTTCTTTACCCTTCTATCTGGCAGCAAAACTGACACCTTTTTGCAAGGAGTCATGTTTGCATAGACCGCAATACCTGCAGTCATAAATACAAACAAAAGACATAACTCTGATAATGTGCACTGTCCTTGAAGTTGATTGGTCCACACCCGAGACAGCTTTCCTTCGAGCCTAGTCTCATATGGGTTGGACCAGATGACGCCAAAAGGCGCACAACTCAAGGACAATGCACCATCAGAGTATGAGAGCTCGGGGCAAACATCTACACTATGGGGACCTCATTTGCCAGTAAAAATATGATAATTGGTTCTTTACTCTTCTATCTGGCAACAAAACTGACACCTTTTTGCAAGGAGTCATGTTTGCATAGACCGCAATACCTGCAGTCATAAATACAAACAAAAGACATAACTCTGATAATGTGCACTGTCCTTGAAGTTGATTGGTCCACACCCGAGACAGCTTTCCTTCGAGCCTAGTCTCATATGGGTTGGACCAGATGACGCCAAAAGGCGCACAACTCAAGGACAATGCACCATCAGAGTATGAGAGCTCGGGGCAAGCATCTACACTATGGGGACCTCATTTGCCAGTAAAAATATGATAATTGGTTCTTTACCCTTCTATCTGGCAGCAAAACTGACACCTTTTTGCAAGGAGTCATGTTTGCATAGACCGCAATACCTGCAGTCATAAATACAAACAAAAGACATAACTCTGATAATGTGCACTGTCCTTGAAGTTGATTGGTCCACACCCGAGACAGCTTTCCTTCGAGCCTAGTCTCATATGGGTTGGACCAGATGACGCCAAAAGGCGCACAACTCAAGGACAATGCACCATCAGAGTATGAGAGCTCGGGGCAAGCATCTACACTATGGGGACCTCATTTGCCAGTAAAAATATGATAATTGGTTCTTTACCCTTCTATCTGGCAACAAAACTGACACCTTTTTGCAAGGAGTCATGTTTGCATAGACCGCAATACCTGCAGTCATAAATACAAACAAAAGACATAACTCTGATAATGTGCACTGTCCTTGAAGTTGATTGGCCCACACCCGAGACAGCTTTCCTTCGAGCCTAGTCTCATATGGGTTGGACCAGATGACGCCAAAAGGCGCACAACTCAAGGACAATGCACCATCAGAGTATGAGAGCTCGGGGCAAGCATCTACACTATGGGGACCTCATTTGCCAGTAAAAATATGATAATTGGTTCTTTACCCTTCTATCTGGCAGCAAAACTGACACCTTTTTGCAAGGAGTCATGTTTGCATAGACCGCAATACCTGCAGTCATAAATACAAACAAAAGACATAACTCTGATAATGTGCACTGTCCTTGAAGTTGATTGGTCCACACCCGAGACAGCTTTCCTTCGAGCCTAGTCTCATATGGGTTGGACCAGATGACGCCAAAAGGCGCACAACTCAAGGACAATGCACCATCAGAGTATGAGTGCTCGGGGCAAAGCATCTACACTATGGGGACCTCATTTGCCAGTAAAAATATGATAATTGGTTCTTTACCCTTCTATCTGGCAGCAAAACTGACACCTTTTTGCAAGGAGTCATGTTTGCATAGACCGCAATACCTGCAGTCATAAATACAAACAAAAGACATAACTCTGATAATGTGCACTGTCCTTGAAGTTGATTGGTCCACACCCGAGACAGCTTTCCTTCGAGCCTAGTCTCATATGGGTTGGACCAGATGACGCCAAAAGGCGCACAACTCAAGGACAATGCACCATCAGAGTATGAGAGCTCGGGGCAAGCATCTACACTATGGGGACCTCATTTGCCAGTAAAAATATGATAATTGGTTCTTTACCCTTCTATCTGGCAACAAAACTGACACCTTTTTGCAAGGAGTCATGTTTGCATAGACCGCAATACCTGCAGTCATAAATACAAACAAAAGACATAACTCTGATAATGTGCACTGTCCTTGAAGTTGATTGGTCCACACCCGAGACAGCTTTCCTTCGAGCCTAGTCTCATATGGGTTGGACCAGATGACGCCAAAAGGCGCACAACTCAAGGACAATGCACCATCAGAGTATGAGAGCTCGGGGCAAGCATCTACACTATGGGGACCTCATTTGCCAGTAAAAATATGATAATTGGTTCTTTACCCTTCTATCTGGCAACAAAACTGACACCTTTTTGCAAGGAGTCATGTTTGCATAGACCGCAATACCTGCAGTCATAAATACAAACAAAAGACATAACTCTGATAATGTGCACTGTCCTTGAAGTTGATTGGTCCACACCCGAGACAGCTTTCCTTCGAGCCTAGTCTCATATGGGTTGGACCAGATGACGCCAAAAGGCGCACAACTCAAGGACAATGCACCATCAGAGTATGAGAGCTCGGGGCAAGCATCTACACTATGGGGACCTCATTTGCCAGTAAAAATATGATAATTGGTTCTTTACCCTTCTATCTGGCAGCAAAACTGACACCTTTTTGCAAGGAGTCATGTTTGCATAGACCGCAATACCTGCAGTCATAAATACAAACAAAAGACATAACTCTGATAATGTGCACTGTCCTTGAAGTTGATTGGTCCACACCCGAGACAGCTTTCCTTCGAGCCTAGTCTCATATGGGTTGGACCAGATGACGCCAAAAGGCGCACAACTCAAGGACAATGCACCATCAGAGTATGAGAGCTCGGGGCAAGCATCTACACTATGGGGACCTCATTTGCCAGTAAAAATATGATAATTGGTTCTTTACCCTTCTATCTGGCAACAAAACTGACACCTTTTTGCAAGGAGTCATGTTTGCATAGACCGCAATACCTGCAGTCATAAATACAAACAAAAGACATAACTCTGATAATGTGCACTGTCCTTGAAGTTGATTGGTCCACACCCGAGACAGCTTTCCTTCGAGCCTAGTCTCATATGGGTTGGACCAGATGACGCCAAAAGGCGCACAACTCAAGGACAATGCACCATCAGAGTATGAGAGCTCGGGGCAAGCATCTACACTATGGGGACCTCATTTGCCAGTAAAAATATGATAATTGGTTCTTTACCCTTCTATCTGGCAAGCAAAACTGACACCTTTTTGCAAGGAGTCATGTTTGCATAGACCGCAATACCTGCAGTCATAAATACAAACAAAAGACATAACTCTGATAATGTGCACTGTCCTTGAAGTTGATTGGTCCACACCCGAGACAGCTTTCCTTCGAGCCTAGTCTCATATGGGTTGGACCAGATGACGCCAAAAGGCGCACAACTCAAGGACAATGCACCATCAGAGTATGAGAGCTCGGGGCAAGCATCTACACTATGGGGACCTCATTTGCCAGTAAAAATATGATAATTGGTTCTTTACCCTTCTATCTGGCAACAAAACTGACACCTTTTTGCAAGGAGTCATGTTTGCATAGACCGCAATACCTGCAGTCATAAATACAAACAAAAGACA